CGACCAAATATTCACACTGCGCCAGGTCCTGGAACATAGGCATGCTTACAGACGCCCGACAATAGCTGTATTTCTCGACCTGAAGGCGGCATTTGACTCCGTTGATCGAGAAGTCTTATGGCAGTGTCTGTCACTGAAAGGCGTGCCTAGTAAGTACATCACCTTATTGAAAGCTCTCTACTCGAACACTTGTGGGCATGTTAGAGCCTATGGTGAGTTGTCCAGGGAGCTATACTCATCAAGTGGTGTCCGTCAAGGATGCCCACTATCCCCATTCTTATTTAATTTTATCATAGATATTCTTATGGAGGTTTCCCTCTCGTCACCTAATTACAAAGACGTTGACCCGATCACAGGTGAATTTTCCTTAGATCTAGAATATGCAGATGACATAGTCCTGTTAGGTGAAGACGCTGACAAGATGCAGAGTCTTCTGAACACTTTGAGTGGGAATTTGAGAATGTTTGGGATGCGATTTTCACCACCCAAATGCAAATTTTTGCTCCAGGACTGGTCTTCAGCGGTACCGCGGTTAACAATAGAGAGTGAAGTGGTTGAGTGTGTTGACCACTTCACTTACCTGGGAAGTAGGATCAACCCGGTGGGTTAGTTGCCGATGAGATTTCTGCACGGATACAAAAGGCTCGATTGGCTTTTGCCAATTTGCGCCACCTATGGCGCCGCCGTGATATTCGTTTGTCTATTAAGGGTCGCGTGTACTGCACAGCAGTCCGCTCTGTTCTACTGTATGGCTGTGAAACATGGCCATTGAAAGTGGAAGACAAAAAGGGTTCAGGTGTTTGACCACCGTTGCCTTCGTAGTATAGGACGTATTCCGTGGTGTCACCATGTGAGTAATGCAGAAGTTAGGTGTAGAGTTTTAGGGAGAAGAGGTAAGTCAGTCGACGAGGTTGTGAACCTTCATCGACTGAGATGGTTGGGACACGTACTACGTATGCCTAGTCACCGATTGCCTCGTCACACAATGTTGGCTGAGGTGGGTTCAGGCTGGAAAAAGGCCCGAGGTGGCCAGACTAAAACATGGCACCAATGTATGAAGTCTCTGACTGTTGGTTTAAGCCATGTAGGACGATGCAGACTAGGTGGTTGGGGTCCACGGGACAAGAGGAACCAGTGGTTGGAGACCCTAGGTGATATGGCTCAGAACCGAAGTCAGTGGCGCAGATGTATACACACATTATCCTCATCTTAACAACGCTATACCGAATCTCACTATTTTGTCACTCCTCTTTCCTTTCTTCTCGTACTTTATATTTCTTTTGACTGCATTCACTTATCTTCATCCTTCACCTCACTACCTTTTTACTTGATGTGCTGATATGAGGTGTGGCAACTCGGACCGTTACGCAGTAATGCCTGGTCCTATGTTGATAATGATGATGATGATGATCAAACATTTTGTAATGATTGTGAGGTTAAGTATATAGGTCACAGTAGCAGATCAGACTCAGTTAGAATAGCAGAAAATAAAACCATTTAGCCAAACATACAATGGTAGACCCTACTAAGATAGGTAATTTAGAGAAAAACTCGGCTAACACTGTATGCACTGACCCATAATCGCACTATATAGTGGATAGGGTGACAATTCTTAGATCCAATATAGCTAGTTAAGTGAAGGGAGAGACCGATCGCAGAATCTTTGTTTATTCAATACACTCCTAAAACATATGACAGGAATCATTCATCATATATTGTAGATATCTGGAAAATTCTATTTACATTAGGATAAAAAAATGATGAATTGTTGGACTATTTAGAGGAATTTAGAAAGTCATATGAATACTTTGCAAGGAAAATGAGCAGTAAATTCTGTTCGAAACGTCATCTAGTAAATAATACTGTATCACTGTTTGCTATATCAAATGAACAATCTAATAGGGAATTATACTCTACCGCAGTGCCCACGTTTTTCTTTTACATTAATAAATACTACCTTGTTGAAATTACTTCTCTTACTTTAAGTATACATTTACCTTTTCAGGACAGCAGTGTAGTTATTTCTAAAGGATACAAAATAGTTATATATATATATATATATATATATATATATATATATATATATATATATATATATATATATATATATATATATATATAAGGACTAAACATTAAGAATTCATGATACCTGGCAGCGCTGAATTTTTCTAATGATTATGTCTGTGACAGAGATTAGCAGTAACATATCACCATGTAAGAGAAGATATTATTAATCAATACAAGGAGGAGTGAGAAAAAATGAACTGGTTCAAATTAATCAGACAACCTGTGTTCAAATTTATCTCATGCATATTGCTGATAATACGCTAATACAAAAAGTAGTCAATCAGTCACCGTGTGTTCACAACAATGCCGGTATTCTAGGCAAGTGAACATACAACGAGCACCAAAAACAAATTAAATTACCATAATCAAAATTGATGTTCTCGTTACTCTGGATTTAAATTTGTTTTACCTATCCTACTTCAACATTATAGCTCAATATTGTAGTGGTATAAAGAAGTCAGGGTTTATTGGTCTACAAACTTTACTTTAAAGTAATAGATCCAGGGTCAAATTCTTTTCCACTCAATTTATCCACAAATAGTATAAGTTGGATAAAGTTAAGCAAGCCTTTTTTATCCGTCCCGGGATGTCATCTATCACTAACTAATCAGGAATGATTCGACTACCTAGGTAAGTGGAGTAGTCAATGTGCTTAGCAGCGTCACTCTCTGCTGTTAAACAATGCACCACTACAGACCACTACTGGGGAAAGAATTTGTTTGGGCGGTAACTTATCACAAACATTCTCAAATCGTCATTCGAAGTATCCAGAACACTGCATCTTGTCAGCATCGTCACCTAATACGAACATATTGTGGAGTACTCCAGACCTACCAAAGATTCTACTGTGATAGCATCGATCGCAGAAAAGTCAGACGACGTGTATGCCTACGTCCGTGATAGTAAAGGTGAATAAGAATAGAGACAGTGAATATTCTCAATGTACACAATTCACCATAGGCTCTAACACGTCATCGGGCGTATGGGTACAGACCCTTGGAAGAATTATGCACTTACACAGCTTCAGTTTGAGTGAGAAGAACTGTCATACGGCCTCTCGATCGATGGAGTGTAAAGTTACCTTCAGGTCATGAAAAACGTCTGGTTTTAGGTGTGTCTGCGTTACAAAACATGGTGGAGTGAAGGTGGTTTGAAACTTGCCTGTTTTCATGAGTTTTCTGTTCCCGAGTTCCACTTAGGCACCTTATGACTGAGGACATAGGATCTTAGACACTACATTCGTCAGACTGATTTCCCTATGGTTGCCATAAGATTTCTTACCTTTCTTGAAGACTGCAACAATATTTGATTGAAACCAACCCAAGGGATTCATGCTTGTTTGACGTATGCTAGCCGACACTTCTGTTAAGCAATCACTCGAACTTACGCAACTGAGTAAGGGTCGACAGCTAACTGTGGTCTAAATTAACGACAAGCACCTCATTATTTTTTAACAGTTCACAAAGATGCTTCTATGTATGACGATAATGACCTTTGACTTTGTCGCAGGTGCAATAATAGTATTAGACGGAAATTCAGGCAAAATGCCGATTTTGCTGAAGGCCTCTGACCAAAAATCTGAGTATGTTTGGCATGTGATTTATGGACTTTAAGATGTAAGATATTGTTTCGGGACTGGTCTACAGCTACCTCTACATTAAGGAACACGAATGAGGCGGTAGTTGTTGAACACTTCACTTAATTAAGAAGTTGCATCGGCTGCAATGAGATGGTTTCTGACATAATCGGGGCTGGGATAGAAAGGGCCTGTTTGGTATTTGCCATCTTACATTTCGTGTGCTGATGTGATATCCAGCTACATACTAAAGAACAAGTACCCATTTCTTAAGTCCACTCCATTCTATCATGCGGTTGAAACGTCACCCCCCCCCCCCCCCAAAAAAAAAGGTATGAAAAGACTACAGGTTCCAACCACATGTATCTCTGTAGTACTTCTCAAGCACGGTGAAATCACTGCGTGAGTAGTGCCAAGGTTATACGAAGATTACTGGGCAGTGAAGGCAGGTCGGTCGATGAACCTTCACCTACCGAGATGGATTGGAAGTGTGTGGCGCATCGCGAGGTACCACCTACCTAGATGAAGACTGTTAAGTGAAGTGAGAGTGGGTTGTAAGAAGAGTCACGGTGACCAGACTGAGACGTAGCACCAGTCCATGAAGTCTTTGACTGTTGATCTGAACCGTGTATGGAGGTAGGTGTCGACTACCTGGCTGGGAGTTAACGATTGGAAGTTCTGAATAGTATGGTTGGAAATCGGTCACAGTGGTAATGCATTCACTGTTTGACGTCTTGTCTTGTAAAGTTCGAACAATTCTAATGACCTTCATTCTTTAAATTCTTTTTCCTCCCAAGCACTTCCGTCTAGTTTGATATCACCTTTTTGTCCACTCCCTTGTTTGCATGCTGCTGAGAAGTCTGGTAACTTGAATCAATGCATTTCTGTACGAGATTCTACTGCGATCTTCACGTCTATCTGTTCTTCTAACAGTGACTATACCAGAGATAATAATCAGACAGAACATATGATACGCGATACTATTAAGCAAAATGAACAGAAACAGATATACATTCAAATCAATATAGTGGGAACTACATGGACGAACTTGTGAAGTAGTAGCTCTTAGGCTCAGGAAATAAGTCACGAATTTGAACTCTACACCACTTATAAGGGCTACATATTCTGTGTAGCTCATAACTTGGTGCACAAAACGTGTAACACATTGTTTTAAAAATAATGGATCAAGTAATTATGTGTGAGTAATAAACTATGTGAATAAATTTGAAACAAAAATTATATTTCCCAAGAATAAAAGCAAAATTCTTGAAATTAGGAAAAGATACATCAGTAGCAAAGCATAAATCATACGTCAGAGAGAATGTAACAATCTTAATTTAATTCTGTTAAACTATACCTTTCATCTTCCATTTCTAAACTTGATTCACTTTCACTCAAGTGTTTGGACAAAGCCTCCCGCCTTTCCTTCTCAATTTGAAGTAACTTTCTGAGACGACGGTTTTCTTCTGCAACTGATTTTTCCTCTGATTCATATTGAGGCATCTTTCGAGCCGACTCTGCCTCATATCGTTGAAGCAATTGACGAAGACGACATACCTCATCACGTAGACGATTAACATACGAAAGGGTTATGACATGAGTTGAAGGACACTGAAGTTCATCTGATGTCTGACCAAACATAGACAGTTCCTGAGGCATAAATACCTTACGCGCATTAGAGAATGTTGGAGGAATTTTTAAACTGGGTGGATTAATCACAGTAGCTTGAGGTGATATCACACCAACACTTCCACATGGACTGGGTGCACCACTTGCATTCGGATCTACAATTGAAGGATGGCTAAGAATAATATGACAACAACAAATACGATCGCAAAATATAGGACAATGTTCTGTCAGATTGACTTAGTAACTGAAGGTACCAACAGTTGATTGCAAACTGACATTTCACTAGTATACTATTCATCAAGAAAAATAAAATTTTGAGCCTCATTATTTGATATTGTCGAGGATGCTCAATGAGAATCTCCTAATTGGAACAAAATTATTAAACACTTTGTTTCCACACTGATTCCTAAGTTGATGATGAAAGTTCCTCCGTAAGTGTAGAGAACTTCACTCACCTCTAGATTCGCTACAGCCACAGTGGATTTTGGTTGACAAAATCTTGAAATGGAAATAGAATTTTCGTCCAGCCAATTTTAAACATACAAAGCCTATAGCAGTGACAAGATAACAAAATAACTATTGCACCTAGAATACCCAATTCAATTGTGAAATATGGTCATTAAAAGTGAACTGTGAAGGTTATAGATATTTGACTACCGTTGACTTCGAAGTACTACTTGTATGCAGTGGAATGACGATGCAAATAGTATAGAGGTTAAATATTTAGTAGAAGAGCAAAATTAGCCAAAGCAATTGTTTACACAAAAGATGGAGAATATTGGTAGCTCAGTAAGTGAGTGTTCAGATTGAGTTGTCTTCCGAGCTGAGGCTTTTATTGGCAAACGTTGTATATCAAGTTGATATTCATCATGGACCGACATCGTTTGGAGAACTATTGAAAGCCTGGAGGAACTAGACAGCTGTTTTGTCCTAGTACAGGACTCCTCAGAGGTGTCCACCTATGACCCTGCCAGGGATCGAACCCAGGACCCTCCGGTTCCCTCGACCCATAGGTCACAACTTCTAATCAGTACTTCGGAAATCTCATCTTGGAGCAGGTTACGTAATGTTAACGTGCTGGCCTTGGAACCTAAAGGTCCTGGGTCCGATCACTGACGGAGTCATGGATGCACACTGTTGAGGAGTCCCATACTAGGACGAGACAGCTGTCCAGGACTTCCGGGTTACCAACGGTTCTCTAAATGATGTCGGTGCATGATGAATATCAATCTGAAGTTAATAAACACATCCCGACAAACCTCCGAAATGAACGTTGCATATCTTCATTGACTGCGGCGATATGCTAACCATTCTAAGTCGTTAATTCCATCGAAGTGCAATATTAAAAGGAGTATCAACAAGAAAAAAGAAGACTGAAAATGAGTAGATCAAGAAAAGACACTAATCCATGGAGTTCCTGACTGCCTGTCTTAGATATGACAGAAATCATGGACCTGATAGTTAGAGTCAGCTTGAAGACCTAAATCGACAGCGAAAAACTTTCAGCAATGCCGCTGCTCCACTTCACATGAAACCTAACACAGCTGAAAACAATAAAACTATAGACTTAAATAACTATGCAACAATATAAGGAATATGGGGACTCTAAAAAAACCGGCATAATGATCTACACGCTCACTCATAATCAAGTGATATGAGGTGCTTTGATAATAGAAGTATATTTTGTTTCCTATTTCAATGCTTTTATAACAATGAATCGGGAAGTAAAATCCTGTTTTTTGTCTATTTAGGAAAAATATTACCCAGTATAGAAACACCAAAATCAAATTTTCGACCTTTACTACGTGTATGAAACTAGTCACCACTGACTAATCTAAAAATTCCACTGAAAACATTTTTGAATTGACAATGAAATAGCGTAGTTGGTTCTACAGTAGCTGCATCCATATAATATCGTGTCGATTTTTGAGGTTTTACAACCTAGTGAGATACCTAGTCTTAGACAGTAGGCAACATAGTTTCTCATGGTTCACCTTATTGTATCTCTTCTTTTATTGAAAAAGTGCAGTAAAATGAAACCACCCCCACACGCCACAATATAGGAGACGGTGGGATGATCCCGGTCAACCTCTCGAGATGCTCTAAAACCACCAAGCTTTCGTAACCTCTACCAGAAAAGTCCTAATAATTGCTTTTACGTGGTTTGCAGAAGGATGTTCTACAAAGTGAGGGGGCGAAAGCTAACGTCCGGGGGGTTAATCGAACTAATTTTCCAGAGGAGTACGCCTAGGAGAGCTGAAAAACTCCGATTCCCATGGATCCCATCTATGAGAACGGAGGAATGATGTATGAACCTATTTTGGTCATTGGAAACCATAGGAATGCAGCACCTCACGCCGCTCTACTGCATTTCGGTCAGACGTCCAGCAAAATGCAAGGGGAGTGGTCGCTCTAGACAACCCCTACTTTGATCTGGGTATAGAGGTAGTATCGCAGGCCATACGCAATGAAGACTGCAAAGCGCTCACCACATCGTTCAAGAAACAAAACTCACTGTATAACGAACTTTCTACTTAATGATTTAGTAGTGGATTTCGACAAGGGTACATGGGAAAGCCATACAAAAACAAAAGGTGCAATTTTCCTTCAAATAATAAACTTCCTATAAAAGATCGTTTTTAAAAATTTTCCCGAACTGTGATCGTAATAAGCAAGTTAAAGACAATTACCTAATGCATCGATATCCATAGGACTTTGGGGTAGCAGTGGGAAGGATGCACCATTGCATTCTGATGCACCTGGTTTCTGACCCACAACATCATTTTGAATACAAGTGTTTTGATTCGATACAGTTTTTTCTTCACCAGCGGATGAAACAGCGATTTGACTAGTAGAAACAAGACTGGTAATTACTCCCAGTGAAGCAGCAACCGAACCAGAAGATGAAGCATTTAACGGACGGCCATGTTGTCTGAAAGAACTACGCAAGCTTCCGGGTCCACTGCTTAAAGGTCGAGGTATTGTAGAATTAGTAAAAGGTACACTAGTACCCTCTGGATTGTTGTCAAGATTTTGACTACTTAATTGGATTGGTAAAGGAGCTCCAACGGATTCAAGTTTTTCCTAGAAAAAAGAATATTATTCCAGAGGCAATATCTACAGAAATACGACAAAGATCCATATGAAATACAGTATAATGATAATTTAAGTACACTAGATCACTTACTGATCTACCAGCATACACCAGCCATTTAATGAAGGCATTAGATGTAACGTCGTATTGTAACGTGAAAACCACTAAGCGTGAAGAAACTGTCCAACTTGCGTAACCTTCAGGTCTGTATAGTACATTTGTTTCGAATTAGATAGCAAACGATTTAAATATTAATGTCCCCTTTTAGTGTCAATGTGCAATGAGTTAACAGAAATGATTTATACCTTTTTGATCAGCAATAACTGTACCCCGTTGAGGTTAGTGAACAAAATGCAGTTTACTTAATTTCTAATAGGAATGTTTTTAATAGGACTTGAAGTTATCACTGATCGTTTTAAACGTCAGGGCGCTATCCACCATGAAAGTAAATCGTGAGAACCACTTTATGAAGTAAACAGTTTGAGCAACGAAAAGTTCAATGTAGTATCTATTGTTGTATCTCTTGCACTTGTGTGGATAGAAGTAATGAAATGACGTCAACTTAACGATACATCAATAATATCATCTACACTACTAAGATATATCATGTAACAGTTAATGGCGTTGACTACTGTTCAGATTTTCATCCTCATATCAATTGGTGTGCACACTATGGAGTAAAGTAAAGCTTAATGAGAAAAACGCACTATCAATCGTTGTCAATGCTGGGATACAACAATTATGATGTTAGTAAAAATGGTTCAATAGTAAAAATCAGGTGTATCTCTGACTTTTGTTAATGAAATTATTTTAATCATGATGTCCACTGAATTAAGCACTGAAGCACGTGATCGAATTGATACTTTACAACTTTACTACTGTCTCACTAAGGCTGGACAGTGAGTATCCCCAAAGTTCAAATGAAAGAGAATTGATAAATGGAACTACTAGCCAATCGGTTACGTGTACGTATTCAATAACGTAAGTCAGTATCATATGTAAGTTTGTGCAGTGGGCAAACAGTCCAATATACTTTTCACCAAAAATATCTGTAGAAAACATTCGTTAATGGTTAGCCCACACAAAAAAGCTATTTACTGCCGTAATAAATACAGGGAAAGCAAAGGAGTTTTTAGGCAATTAATGCAGTAGATGAATGAACTTTCAGTATTATGGTAAGATGTGATTACATATTAGATTTATTATTACTGCTACCATTACTACTTATTAAAGTACACAGTGATAATATATTGTTTACTAGAGCACACAACGCAGCATCAAAAAGTCGACAAATTATGTTCTACTCACACACTTACTCGTAACATTTTCTTTTCAGCTTCAAGTTTTTCCATCTTTTTCCATAACCTGTTTACTAAAGCCTCCTGCTCTTGTTCAAGAGCATTTTCGAGTTCAATTTTTTCTCTGCGCAGCTGATCTAAGCAGTCTTGTTTCTGATTCATATCCGCCTCTAATTTTTCAATCCTTCTCATTAGCTTGCTAACCTAAAAAAAGAAATTCTCCGTTTGTTTATACAGTCTAAAAAGTGATCATTGTCTTATTTCCATAAAAAGTAATGGGGAAAGAAAATCTGCCTATCAAACCACTAATTCTCTTAAATATATTTCTATGCAGGTAAATATTGTTGTTTATATCGGTCCCGAGTTCGAGTCCTGGAGGGAACAACATCGCTCGCTGGGAGGCAGGTACACCCAGCTGACGAGTACCAGATATGACGAAACGCGCGTCCTGGACTCCACTGCTAGCTGCTATCCATTACTAAGTAAATACTGTCCCTAGAAAGTCGTATAAAAACTTATGAAGAAAACAAGTAGCTGCCATAAGATGGTGCACTGGAGCTCTATTTAGATATACACACATGCACTAACACAATATAAGACATAGCATAGTAGCTTAGGCTACTAAGTTACATCAATAAATTGAGTGAAAGTATATAAAAAGAAAAAGGTAAATCAATGGAAGTAAAACAACGAATTGTAGACATAAAAATAGACATAAACGGAGAAAAGGGATGAAGATATATTTGATAACAAGACTTTTAACATGTAGGCTGATATAAAATGAAAATACACTCGCAACATAGCAATCGACGTTGAGCTACATCACCCTAAGCCTTCAAACACCGATGATAGTTGTCTTACGGATCCCAGATGCGAATATAACCCTATGTGACACGGCAATTATAATAGGTCATTAATTACAGAACTCACGCACTATTGAGATACCTCAGTTTGATCACCTTTTGTTTTTCAAGTCTTATTTCATTGATGGTACGTAATGGTAAACAACGGCTTGACTCAACATGTCCCAAGCACTTCATATAGGTCCACAATATTAACAGATCAACCATCCTAGGCTGTTACTCTACAATTTACACGCATTTTTCGCATCGCTTACACGGTTATATCAACACATTTGAGTGGTACTACAGAGATGACAGTGGCCTAATATCTGCATTGCAGTACCTGTTTGGAATCCGATAACGCGTTAGTATGGGATCGCTTATATCGGCGTATTACTGGTCGCCTGTCTACGGTTCATTGGAAGATGAGAACGTCAAGTAGGCATTTAAGGAAGAAGTAGCTAAGCATTTATCTGAACATAATAGCAATGCTCATCCTGAGGAAACCGGAAGTGGTATTAAGTCTGATGTAGAAACAACGGTAAAGACAATTAGTAACCTACACCCGAAGATTCGCAAACGTCATTGGATTCCCGCGACATCATCCGAACTAACTGATGAGAAAAGATTGATTCCAGCTGACTCTGACCACGACCAAGAGCGAGAGCAACTTAAAAGTAAGTTGACCAAAAGTCTCCCTGTCGATCGCGACCAATGGTGGGTGATGAAAGCGAGAGATGGAGAAGGCACCAAAATTGAGTAAAACTCAGCACCTACTTAGACATACTAAGATTAAGGAGAGGGGCACAGTTCAAATGGACCCTAGCAATACTTTAGTCGCCAAACATCGAACCCGGATGGGAAGTAGATGTTGGTCTTCTAACTATCCTTGAAGTCGCGAAAGCTGTATCGATACCGGAACGATTCAAAGGAGTAGAACCTGACAGTTTGCCCCGTGACGTTTTCAAGGAGGGAAGTAGGGCACTGTTAATTACAGCGACGGACAGACTAGATAATGTATAGCAATGAGAGGTATTCCCATCACATTGATTTGCTTCTCTGGTCACTTCAGTTAATCAGAGACGAGAAAAGTCTTCCTGTGACAACCATAGTTGAATTAGTTTTACTAATGTTGTATCAAAAACTAAGGGTCCATAGTTATCCAACACCTAACTGGAACTCGAGAAAACCAGCAAGGTTTTAGACAGAGCTGAATGAGCCTGCATCGATCCGATTCTCACCCTCCGAGAGGATTTGGAACACAAGCATGCCTACCAGCGGCCGACACAAGCCATATTCTTGACCTGGAGGAGGTGTTCGACTCGGTCGACCGTGAAGTGCTGCGGATATGTCTGACTGTGAAAGGAGTATGGAGAAAGTAAGTAACACTAATCAAAGCTCTCAGCTCGAACTCATGCAGCCGTCTCAGGGCTTATGGACCGCCGTTATCAGAATAGACGACAACTGGTGGTGTCCACCGCGGTTACCCATTATCGCCGTTCCTATTATCTTCGTCAAAGAGGTATTAACGGATATGACATTAGGTACATCTGACTTCACAGGGATTTGTCTACTCCCTCGAGTGTGGGAATCTGGTTGATTTGGAGTATGCAGACTTTATTGTCCTGCTAGGTCAAGATGCTGATAAAATGCAGGGTCTTCTGGATGCGTTGAGCAAAAATCTGAGAATGTTTTGCATGCATGTAAGATGACGCTTCAGCAAGACTGGTGTGCAACTATTCCAATTTCATTGATAGGGAGTGAAGTGGTGGAATGGGTGGACCACTTCACTTACTTGGGGAGTTGCATTAGCCCAAACGGGTAGGTTGCTGACAAAATCTCAGCTGCGATGCAGAAGGCCTGTTTGGCATTTCCCAACCTTTGTCATCCATGGTACCAACTGGTGAAATATTCGACTATCTATCAAATGAAGAGTATACTGCACTGCAATTCGTTCTGTCCTGTTGTATGGCTGAGACATGGCTGTTGAAAGTAGAAGAAATGAAGCGATTGCAGGGTTTCGATCACAGATGTCGTCGCAGCATTGCTCATGTTTGGTGGGATCATAGTGTGAGCATTTTTGAGGTTAGGTGAAGGACACTAGACAAGAGAGGCAAGTCGATCAATGAAGTTGTGAACCTCAGTCGACTCAGATGGTTTGGACATATACCACGAATGGCCAGCCACCGCCTACTTAAACGTGTGATGCTAGGGGAAGTAGTATTAACTTGGGAGATGGTTCAGGGTGGATAGAAAAAGACGTAGTACCGGTCGATGAAGTCTCTTACTGTTAGTCTGAGTTGTGTGGGACAATGTAGACTTCCCGGTTGAAGTCACCGAGACGACGGGAATCAGTGGTTGAGGGCTATTAGTGATATGGTTGAAAATCTGTCACAATGGCGTGGATGTATTCACTCCTTGACATCTTTTAAAGCTTGAATATTCGCACTGACTCTTATCTTCAGAATGCTTGTTCTCTCACACAATTTTACCGTTTTCTATCCACCTGTTCTTTGAGTATTACTGTGAAGTGTGGCAACTTGACCTAATATATAGACAATTCGCTCTATGTAGCAAAGTTGACAGTTTTTGGCAAATTTCATCCTTTCTGTCGTGTGAACTGCAGTCGGCAGCTGTGCAGGTAGGCACTATGAACAACTATCCATGAATGTCAAGGCTACTGTCAGTTATTACACATCAATTCAGTCGGACTCCATGCAGATGGTCATCAGGTGGAATAAAGTCGGGGAAAACGCTTCCGGCTGTACAGATGAAAACAATTCACGCACCAGTGAGTCAACTTGAGCTAGTCATTGAATTGCCACAAACGTAAGGTGAATTAGCCAGATTCATTACAGTGGCTCGGTGAAGTCAAATGACCACACTTCGGTTCTACATGCGTGTCCGACATAAATAAGGTATATCCATCCACAGGTCAAGATTTCAGAGCTTTCTAAAGTGATATCTGTTGACCAATTCAGGACACTGAAGGCTCCAAAATGCGGTTCGCAGAGTGGTTTTAGGAAACTCAGAATGAGGTTTTTCAGCCTCTAAATACCAGAGACTTTCATATACTGAGATAAACAAACCATAGGCAGGTAATGGGAGTAACACAAGCATGTGGGGAAGCTAGGAAAAGTGGCCAACTGATAATTGGATCTCGCATGCTACCAGAGGTGTGAGGATGGTGAATACCTTGAGGCTGTCCACACCATGGAAGTTATTTCTGTACTGTGCCTCAAAGAGAAAATGGGTTCTTTCCTTCGGCAAGACCACAGGAAACAAGAAACGTCCGCTCGATGCTGGTCACGTACGGCATTTTCGGAAAACTTTGGTTTGATTGCTTGATGAAATGCACACCATCGGCACCAGAAGACTATCGTACAGAGAATATGCAATTCTTTAGACCTATCCTTTACAACCCAAGGAAGACAAAATTAGTGTGAAATGCTGGTTATCCGACAAAAATACCTTGATAAGTTAACACGCCTTGTAGCCAGCAGTGAGTGCGACATCACCCTCGGAACTCTGCATTAGCGTAAGTTATTTTCGCTCTGACGATCCCTGCTTCCAGTCTCACCACTATCCAACAGATCTTGCTGGGTTAGGGGGAGCTCAAGAAACAATCGTTACAGCCATCACAGATCCGCGGGTCATTCAGATTAATTGCCCTGATGTGCACATTTTCGCTCTAGGCATTTAATACATATCCTCTCCAAGCTCAGGATTCTGGATGACGCTGCATGATCGATCACCTGTCTCCGTAGAAATGTTAGCTTCCCGGTAAAATACCTAGTAAATAACACTGAAGTGCGACGTATAGTGCATTTGGGTGTGATAGATTACGTCACTCATTAGATGATGTCATCTTAATTTGCTGACTACGGTGATCTGAGCTTGTCTTACAAATGTCTTTCCATGAGCCCATTCGCCTGTCGTGGGTCAATATGTTACCAGTGGTGAGGTGGTCAGTGTATGATGTGACGATTAGCGATGGTTTCGTGTTGGAAGAGCCTCTCACTATAGCCAATACACGTGCTGCTACCATTTCATTTGAGCATTCTGATTAATGGTCACTACTGTTCTCAAGGAAACGCTGAATGACGTATGGGATTCGTGACCTGCAAACATTAATGTTCATATTGTGTTATAGTAAAAAAAAACACGAAGGTGTGCAGAGATTCCAACGAACTCGCAGATACATAGTGTCTATTCGTAGTGTTACTTGAAGGTACAAGTAACTACACTTCCAGTTCCAGTGCATCCTGCTGGTGCAGCCAACGCCTATTTATACTTTCTTGAGTTTAGACAAATAGCCTTGAATTTAACTCCGTTAAGTATTTAGTTGCAATACTATAAGCAACCAATTTCTTCACGCTAACCTGTTTAGAACAACGATTTCAATGACCAACAAAACCCAAGATGAAATTATAACACATCCCAGTGTGATCAGATTTTAAACCAGAGCTCAAAAAAGATAAGTGACCATGGTTACACTTATGAAATCGGTGCCTGATTGCAACATGATCTACTTAAGTAAGAGAGGACGCCAAGTAGCACAAAAAAGCAAAGGTTCTGCCGGAATTCGCGCCCACTTAGGAATAGATTGTGATCTGCATGAAATTTCAAAAGACGATTTCAATTATTAGACCCGTAACTCACTAGTCCACATACTTTACATCATTGACTATCCTCTGAGTCTAGACGCACGACCTATGCATTCAATCTCCATTAAGCGAGGATTAGGATTATAGTCACTTAGAGCACAGGTAGAGATAATGGAGAAAAACTTTGCGAAGCCACTTATTTCCTACACCAATAAAACCCACCATCTTAGCACCATATACAAGACTTGACAGCAATCCAGCCCTGGCACTTGTTGTGGTACTAACGCCAACTCGACTGGCAGTTGATGTCATAAGGTCTTTGAATAAGCTAACGATAAACATAGTTTTCGAGCTGGTAGTAAGAGGCACTTTACTGGAATCTCATACCTGGGTCTCTGAAATGATGCAGATATCAACGGTGAGGCTTTACAGTATTCTTGTCAAACTTGTTCGCAGTTCAATCTACATCAGGGTTTGGACGTTGAAGATAACAAGCTTAAATGGTAAGTGTGATTTCAAACTAGTTGAATAAAAAATTCCAATATGAGATGGCTTTGGAGGATCAATTCTTTAGCGACTCAAGATGGTGCAGACAAACCAAAATTCCAATCAATGATAGGCAGTTGAGTGAAATAAAATGTGAATAAAGAAAAAATTGAAAATGATGATGAAAAGACAACACAGTTCATATTTAAATATACAAACGATCAAATGAAAAAAGAATGGTTGAATTCGAATGTTTATACTGAATCATGGAGTGTATGTGGGGTATGGTAATGCATGGACCACTCTTCGAACTTTTGCGTTGAAGTTTGGTCCACAAAACAATGAAGCAACGTTGGGTACTGCATTCTGACAATTGATGGTGACAAAATTCACCGTCTTATGCGCCATCCCGCCTTCCTAGATTCCAAAGCGCCATATAAATTTACGTATCATTTTCATTGTCTTGTAGATGCAGATAATGTTCATTTATGCTGTTTTGTTGTATAATGCTAAGTTTTGAATCTAAATAAATTTGCTATTCGGTTACAGTACAAAAAACAACCGACTTTCTTACGTCTTACTTCTTGCGCACGACGATTTTAATAGCTGACAATGCCCAATATGAACTCACCACATACTGCAGCGTGAACAAAGTTCAAACCAGAGCTCAAGAAAGATAGGCAACTACAGATACACCCGCGCCATTAGTATCGCAATAATACGATCTACTTGAACCCAAGTTTTAACAGTAAAAGGAGAATACCAGGAAACACGATGGCACCTCTGCTGAACACTGGTCCTGGACAGTAATAAGTTGCAATCTGCAGGAGAATGTTCTTGGTACACAACCTGTGACCTACTAAATGACTTCGTATCAAGTTTAGATACTAAAAATCGCGCATTTGAGTCCCAAGTTATCACTACGATTTATCTCGTGCGAGAGTGAGATAACCACTCAGTTAGTGGTGGAACCGAATTTAGATAAACTAGGACTGCAGGCCGGAGCACAAAAGTGGTAACGGAAACATCGATTTCCTCATCAGCCTGATTCTCATCATTTAAAACGGTTTACATTAGGTGTATGACAATCAACAGGGTGCTAAGACATTGGCCGCTATAATACACCATAAGCTTTGCAGAAAACATGAACAATGGATCCATGACGAGCAGACCTGGTTCTCATCAGGTCGGGTGTGCACTGATCATGTGTTCATCCCCCGCCAGATGCACAAACACCATCACACGTATTCCAGCCTAGTGATCACTGCATGTCTTCATACCAGAACTGTCTTCGATTCGTTTGACAAGGCTGTGCTCTGAAATTGTCTACTGACGAAGATTTTCCTGACGTTCGTTAAGTACTTCAGGTAGAGTGAGAGCATATAATAACCTCCCTTCATTCCTCCGAACCGCAAAGTGGGGTTAGGCAGCTCTGTTCATTTTCGCTACCCCTCTTTAGTTGTGTAGCTATTGAAATTCTCCATAAACACTCCTGACAGAAAGGTATCGTAGCAGCCTAGATCTGCTGTCAGGCGTAAGACTTTTTCTCATCGTAAATACGGAGAAAATAGTCTCAATGTGACAATGTACAGGCTACCCAAATCGCGCTTAGTGAATAGATGAACAGCATCTGCACCTAAGTGCAAAATGCACTTATAGTATTAATCTTCCGTATCTACAACTTATATTACCATTGAACAGTTGGAAGTCATTGGAAAGTTGCTGCATTCCAGTAGTACGGTCAGTATTAAAAAAGTTGTGATAGATCAGATATTTTATCGTCTATTAAAAACCAATGTGGAATATGCTAACCTAAATTTTATCTCCGGTATAGTTCGAACGCTACAACAACACTACACAACACAAATTACTTTTCGCTACATATGAAGCCTGACGTCCAAGAGCTACAAGTGAGTAACTGTCGTCCCTCAGTCACCATTGGTTAAACAGAGTTACTCATATCAGGTCACAATAAAACTGAGGTAAGTCTGAGGAGCGATGGTATGTTTGCGCATGATAAAGATCCTCATTCGACAAGCGATGTAATACTGAAACGCCAGTTTCTGCAACTTAAAAACGTCCTAAACAAACCATCTCAGAAGCCCCCTTACCGTTCACTGCTCGCTAGCCTTAGGAGTGGACGGAATAAAACAAAAGGTGGTTATTTTATATGAATCCTGGCAAAGATTTGATCGGGTAGTTTCATAAATACTGGGCACGGAGAAAAACTTTCACAATAGTTATTAGTAACATTTAGACAAGCCTCAGCATCTTGTGCTTAAGGTTAGTGCTAGCAAAGAAACAAGCGATCCTCAGAACAAAACTGCAACAGACGATCACCGTTGTCGGTTCATTGACGTGGAATCTCACAAATACCCTGAAGATGCGTTTTCGATTGATTCAGCTTCCCTACTTGAGCGTTGAAGTCACCTACATTGAGACTACATCTCGACGTTTTGCAGTCTGTAGCAAATTCCACAGCTTTTCACAGAATTCATCTCTTGCATCATCCGAACTACAGTCGGCAGGCACGTCGGTGGAGATAACGAATAGATGTCACCTAGTCTCACAATCCCTCCTAATCCTTACAGATCCATTCAGTCGAACAGCATACAGACGGCTGCTTACTGGTATCCAGTCAAGAAGCACTTTTTCTGCCGTACAACCTAATGCTATGTCTACACCAGCGAGTGGATGACAGTTAGCCATTGGATCTCCAGAAACTCGTGAGGTGAAGATTCACCACCATGGCCGGCTGACGTCAATTTACTAAGCACATTTAGGTCCTGTCTGTATTCAAGTCCTGCAGACACAGCACACACTTATGGCTAGAGATTGTAGAGTTCTAGTGAGCAATGCTTGCTGTCCGATTCTGTATGGTGCTCGGACGTTAAAAGGCGCTTCATGAACTCAGTGGCGGGGTCTCAGGAGACTAGGAATGAGGTCCCGATGGCTCTACTCATTGGAAAAGGTTGCAGAGTCAGAGATTGAGTGGGACGCAAGAGGCCTAACATTAGTATCAGGGGATGAAGACAAAAGAGGAGACAGAGTTGAGGAGGATAGGTTACGTTTGGTTGGGTCTGAAAGCGTGTGGGCGGTCGACACTTCCCGGCTGCCCACACCGTAGAAGGTAACTGAGAGAGAAAAGGATTTGTATGACTGCAGAGACCGTGGGACATCGGCTTGAGGCCCATCACACACGATCTTCTGCGGGTTGTTGTCTTAAGGTTCGGTTGTTCTAACGCCAGATAGAGAAAACGCACACCGCAGGGCAGGAAGAAGTATGCCATTTTCGGGGTCGACCCGTTCTACCCACCCCTTCCCACTGGGAAGGCAGCATGAGCACGGAACTGCTTATTATCCAGTGAAACACCTTAGTGTTGTCATAACCCCATCCAATAAGCAGCACTACTTTCCCATCAGACTCCCATCATAATGTGGTAATTTACATGATAACGGTCACTACCTTTCGTCTTATCACTATCCAACAGGCCTTTCTGGTATGGCAGGACCTCGGGGGAACAAGTGTTCCAGCCAGTGTAGCTCGTTGGGTCACTCTGATATGCAAGCCCGGCCATCAGCTACCGGCCTGGAATCGGTTAACAAAGAAAAAGACAGAAGAGTCGGGACATCTTTCTCATGAACAAGTCCAAATTTGTTGCTAAAAGAAGAAAGTTCTGGATACTGAATGGTAAAAATATATGCGAACTGAAATTCTAGCGTTTCTATCACTTAATGTGAAAATCTCATAGCCGTACATAAAGTAATGTTTTGAAATGAGCCACAAATAACATTATGAGCAGTTAGTGTACACTCAACTGTTTCTCTTCTTTTAATCTAAATATTTCAGAAATGTCTTCAGAGAATATGTTTGAAAAACACCACAGTGTGATGTCACATTGCCACGAACACGGTGGGAAAATGATTGACTTTTCCTCAATAAACGGAAATGAGTTAAAAATATCAACCGGATTATTACTACCCAAGATCTTATCTAGGGTTAAACAGCAACAAACATCTGAACGGTGAGTGTTGGCGAACCTACCTGATTCTCTTGCTCACGTGCCAAAGTTCGTTCAAGTGCATCTTTCTCTTGTCTCAGTTGTGTGAACTTACGACTGAGTTCATTAGTCAGACACTCTTCTTCTTGTTCATAATTTATCGCCAATGATTCTTTTTCCTTCTTTAATTCAGTGATCTTTTTTAACAATGTATTGCTAATGTACTCCTCCTCTTGTTCTGCTTTTGCTTGCTACAGCACAAGAATGTACCGGGATAACAAACACTTACTATACTAACACTGTTTCGACGCAATTGTTGATTTAAATCATTCAATCCTTTGATTTTCAGTTTCAAGGTTTCGACTTCAGTCTTCAAAACGCGATTTTCTTGCTGTAGCGATTCAATACGCCGTAAAACCTGTTCATTTGTAACCAGCAAATCTTTGGTTCCATCAACTGAACTCGCATCAGACTCCAAGTCTAGCTCTGACGCACTGTCTGCCATTGCTGCAAAAAAATCATGATGGATGTACATTCTGAACATATATGAGCAAACCGAATCTGAACGACGCATGGAAATGATACACCACAGAGGAACCTTAGAACAGTTACTAGAACAAAAAAAGCTGTTCGCTATACACGGAAGACACCCATAGGAAGCCCTTATCCATGGTAATCAATAACTGAGCAATCTGTTTGGTTACAAAAGTTAACCACTCGATGATATGATAAGTTAATTATCATAACCGTGCATTTTAGGCCACCGCTTAAATCGTCTTAATGCAGACAAACAGATGCAGACCGATGTGTGACTTCGCAAACAAGTGCATCAGTCCAAGTTGCAACACTTCACAGCAGCATGCAAACAAAAAGTGAGTGAAAAAAGTGATATCAAACTAGACGGAAATGCTTGGAAGAATGAATGTGAAAATAAAGGTCAGTGAAATCAATCGAGCTTTAGAAGACGTCAAAGGGTGAATACATTACCACTGTGGCCGGTTTTCAATCACGCCATTTAGAGCCTTCAATCGTTGACTTCCCCTGTCTCCACGTCCGCAACCAGGCAGTCGACAACTACCTCCATGCACGGTTCAGATCAACAGTCAAAGACTTCATGCATTGGTGCCACGTCTCAGTCTGGTCACCCTGAGCCTTCTTACAACCCAATCGAACAGAAATGCAAATCAACGTAGAACCTAACATACAGATGCATCAGTTCAACTTGCCACAACTGATTTCGTCATTTAGTCAGTCATTTGCCACAACCTCAAAGTACAATGCCAGGAACAAACAGGTAGAAAAAGAACGACATTAAAGCATAAACGAGTAAGTGTCCGGAGAAGGAATTTGAAAACACAGACTGGTGAAAATAATCCAGTTTTGGAAAACGTCAAAGAGCAATGCTACAAAGACACCTACGGTAAAAAAAACCTGAAATCTTTTCCCATCTTCTACCTTTGAAAGCCATGCCTCAAAACCGTCCCGATAGATCTGGTTCACATATCCACATGTTTCAGACCAAGAGTCACAGACATCATCGTGAGTTGCCACGTTTTGATTAAGCAATCCTGAACCCTATTCCAACCTAATCCAACTTCCCCATCATAGCACATCAGTGCATGTGGTGGCTCGGAATCCTCAGTAGATGCCGGAGCCATTTCAGTCAATACAGATTCGCAACTTCATCGACCAATTTGCCTGCCTTGTCTAGGACCTCTCGTCCGATCCAAGTGTTGCCCAAATGCCGATTCCACCAAACGCGAACAATAATACGAAGACATATAAGGTCAAAAACCTGCAGTCGCTTCATATCTTCTGCCCTTAACAGCCACACTTTACAGCCGTATAACATGGTAGAGGGGACTGCAGTGCAGTACCTCCATCCTTAACCAGGTAGCCTGATACCTCACCAGTAGGCACCAAGGATGACGCAAGCCGGCAAATGCCAAACGGTCCCTTCATATCCTAGCTCAGATTGCGTCAGCAACCAGCCGGTTCTAGCTGATACAACTCCCCAAGTTGGCGAAACGGTCGATGCATCCCACCACTTCATTGTCTATCATTAAATCGGGACCAGTTGTAGACAAGTCCTGAAGAATCGTCTTGCTTTTGAAAGGTGTGAAACGCATGCTGAACATAGTCATTTCCGCTCAACGTGTTCAGAGGACCCTGTATTTGTTGGCGTCTTCACCTGGCAGTACAATATCATCTGAGCAATCCAAGTAAACCAGATACCTCCCTCCCCCCCCCACAGGTAGTAGGTCAGAACCTAGGAAGTCAGAGGAACCTAACACAGTGCTCATTAATATGTCCATAAGGAGGATGAGCAAAGACTGTGACGGCAGGCATCCTCGGCAGATATCCCTAGTTGTCATCAATTCTAATGGCAACTCCCCGACAAGCCCTGACCTGGCAGCATACGTGCGAAAAGGGAGCTTTGATAAGCGTTAAATAGCTGCCTGGCAGTCTTCACAGTTGGAAGTTGGTGCAACAGTTCACGCTTGGTAGAGTCGAATGCCACTTTTAAGTCAAATATCACAGGTGTTGGCCTGTGTTCCAGAACCGCCCGGAGGGCAAAAATCTTACTGATGCACTCTGCCTGCTTTTGTTGTTCTCAAGTAATAGTTAAGCTTCGGATAACTACGGAGCCCAGGATCTTAGACACGACAAAACTGGGAGTAGCTGCGAACCCGTCCTGAAGTATCATCTTGCACTTGGCAGGTGCAAAATGCATACCCAGCATACTTAGATTTCCAGTCAAGGCGTTCACAGAATACTTTTTGTTTTGAATGAGTTTCTGTTTAGCAGGACTGTTTCGTCTGCGTACTCCAAGTAAGTCAGGTGTAGGTCTGAGTGATGTCAGTCCCTGTTACTTTAGAGGTATGTAGAGCTACACATTAGTAGAGCTGTAGTTCATTAGATTAGGGAGATGACTTTCAACCAGTGGGTCACAGGTTCAAATCCTGCCACACCTACAGAAATTTAGGCAGGTGCAATGTGTGGCTTACTACCTACTGCAAGAATGTGTACAAAGTTGGTGACTTTATTTCGATTTTTTTCGCTAATTAATACATCTACATCAAATGAAACACGAATGATAACAGTGGATGTACTCCGCGGACGTCACTAGTTGCTATAACTTCAGATAACATTTGATATGCACATTATGGTGGTAAGACTAAAATTTGGCACCATCCTGTGACTGCTGATGAGAAAATGAGTTACATGGATACCTTTATATTCCCTTTAAAAAACCTACGCAGTAACCGACATCAGTGGTTGATGACTAAGTGATATGCCTTGAAATGATTTCAGAGTAGCTCAGATACCTTTTTATCCTGTCTAACATAGTATATTCCATTTCGATTTCCAGATAAGGTATATGGTGACGTCCCCTACCCTGCTGATGAAACGTTCAAGAACAAATTTCAAAGATCGGAAAACAAACAATTTTTTATATTCATCCTGAGCTATAAATCTCGATTAACTTCTAACTCTTTTCACATTTTCCGGTGTTCTAGAAAACACTCACACGGCTGACTTTTTCACTCCGTTGGTAAGACAACCAATTTGCATTCAACAAACATCTTTCAGATACTTTAGTCTGTCTGAATCATCGAAGGCTACCAAACATTTGCTACTTTAATGCAAGACCTAAATTAGACATCGCTAAACGTGACATGTTGGTTTGCTTATGCTGCTTTCAATGCGCAAACCTTAATGCATACTAGGAAACAAACAAAACTGGGTCAAATAACGAAGGACTTTGTCGTTGTGCTTTCTGTCCAAACCCTTGAGGACTAAATCATTCAATGCGTAACTAGATTTTAGAAATCGCAGACTTATTTAAATGAAGTTGGTTTTAAGTCAGGAGATGAGGACTTCCTCTTCATCAGGTTCTGAAAGTGACTACCACCATTAACTGAGGGGCTGATATGCTTAGGTCGCTGATTTCCCTATAGCACAAAGATCGTACAGTTCTGTTAAACTAAGATGCCGACAAAACACTGAGGCTTTCTGAAGGCAAAAGTCCCAGAATTTTGGTGTGATTCAGAAAAAATCTGCTCCGATGACGATGATTAGGCATAAAGCAGCAAAATGCAGTGATCACTTCGCTGATTTCGAATACTGCACACAACTCAAGAGGCTGACAGCTGAGGGAGCTTCACTGCAGCTATCTCCCCTTTAGTAATTGTTAACCGACACACTGTCAGTGATACCCGACCATATATCAAAGAGTGAGTGCACTGTTCAGCAGTTCCTTTCGTTCCGCTGTACGACTGATACATAGTGGTTGAAAGCAAAAGACGTGAAGAATACAATCTTCTAATTATAGATAACATATAAACATTGCTGGCATATAGTGGAAAGACCATGTAGATAACGTTGAGGGGGAGACATATGGTACGAGCTGAGAATGTCAAGTTGGCTGACGGGACGATGAAGTTTGACCAGCCGAAGTGGTTTGAACATGTTTTGAGCATGCTCAGTCATCTGTTACCAAGACATGTCACGTTGGATGAAAGAATAGGTTGGAAGTCGATTGTGTTTATACTTTGGCATAGCAATACTCAACAAAGTGACTTAACTAGAGCAGAAAAAATTACCTGATTGAAGCACCTAGACTATAGGAATCAACGATTGACGAAGTGACTACGGTGGTGGGCCCTAGTGTTCAATTTCACAGTGCATGAATTGCTAAAATAGAGCTAATCAAGTGAAAATACTTTACATTTTTACTCAGCTTCGTCACAAATATATTCTGAAAGCAGCACAGCTGTACTCCTTGAATGAAAATACTGCAATTTATGAGTTTATCTTTCTATCCTTCGGTTTGTGAAGGAATTACGAAGTGAATGGACACAGTCTGTATAATCAAATCAGGCGACTACAGAAATATTACCTTGGCTTAATGGGTTTAGTATTTTTTGAATGAAGCCTCTTTTAACGACTTATGTCATGCTGATCATCGTAATCGCTTTTTTATGCCATTTCCCTGTCTGACATGACGAAAACAAATCTGCGTAAAACAAACTCGGTTTTCCAGTTATTACTACTCAATAAGTGATAAGCATTCAGAGAAGTAGTTGTCTAGCCCACAAGAGAGGCTGAATTTGCACACAGAACTCTATGTCGTATGCATCACGACTGCTGGAAACTCACACCTACACCAGTGCATCTCCTGCTCGACTCCCGTTGCTACTGTCAACTTATTCACAGAAGCACACTGCACTACTGCTGCACATCCTACCATTCCATGCTCAGTAGTTGATAAACGTGTGATGTCATAAAGATATCGGTAGGATGAATTATTTTGCCCAGTGTCAACCACAATCCACCAGCAGCAACAATAAAGTAGTGATAACGATGTTCAATTTACATGAGTGTTGTTCACAGAGAGTATTTCGAAACACGTAACCCAGTCAACAATTTTGTCGGGCCAAATGGAGCAACATTGGGCCAAGCGTTAGGCCATGAATCTGATTTCAATCCATATGTAGTGCACATGGGGCTAAACGTTGGGCTGGTTGTAAAGCCCATCAGTACATGGGGCCGAAGGCATGGCCAAGAAGCACAGAGTCAGACGTGGGAGAACTGTTGCAATACTCTACGCCTGTCTCTACATTTGGGTCGACATTTTCGATGGCTAGTTTCCTAACACTGTATTATTTGGCTCGACGAAATTGTTGACTGAACAAGGATTAATATGTGTTGCTCCTACACAAACACAACATATTTCTGAAGTGATATTGAGTACTAAACGAAATCCTTAAACTTGGCCTTCATTAATAACAGTAATAGGCGCAATTTGGAATATCAACTTGGGGTGAATTTACCAGACATCCAACTCTAGGCTTGACCTTGACGTGTATGCACAAGGTCGAATTTTACCAAATTGGGCGGCCATATTGGTTTCACAATAATCCGTGTGCTCTACAGCATGCTCATTGCTTATTTCTTGATCAATCGATGTGAACAATCCTCCAAAAACTTTTAATCCAATAAACAGTTCGTCATATCACACCTGCACCAGTTCACAACATGAGCAAACTATCTTGGCTTCAGAACACTTACATCCCCCGAATTTCGCATTGAGGTCCATTGCAATGAGCAACTCGGGTTGTTAGTTGAAGTTATCCATTGGCTTTCTCATGCCTGTTACCGGTTATCGTGCCCTATGTGAAATGGATGTTTTCTGTTTTCTGAAAGCATATTTTACTTTGTAAGTACGTTGAAATACAATCCCAGCGTGCTTAGGAAATCAAAAACAAGTTTTCTTCGAATGTTGTGCTGCGTATCTCACAGCTTCTTTAGTATAATATCTTGTTCTTTCTTGTCCAATCAGCAAAGTCAAGCAATGCTGGGCCTCACTGGTACTTTTTTCATCTTCATGCTTGTAGAAATGACATTTGTCGTTTCCCCGAGTTTTATGGTGTTTATTCATGTTCACCTTATTGACTGCACTCGACATCTACGGTGAAATAGAGGTTGATTTCTCTTATGAGGAATGTTGGTCACAAATGAGAGTAAAGCACTTAAGGCTTTAAATTACAGTAAGCAGAATGAAGGATTCCTCTCACTGTCACACACGCAATGGTTACGACCGGTCATCCGGTGTCAGGGTTAGGCGAGATCGGCCAAGGTCAGTGAGAAAAATATATCAAGAAAGACCCCATGCTCACAAACGGGCAACAGTGTTTGTCCGCGGTACTTCGGAACCAGCAGCCAGTACATTGGTAGAAAAGCATCCTCATGATATCTAATATTGGTGGGGTTTGTCACCGAGGATGTGGTTAAATGGGATTGCGGTGTCAGCTGTCTGCAGGCTGTCACACCCCCAAAATCTAACAACAGCTGGACCGCTCAGACTGACGGCTATCAACTCAAAACGCTAAGAGCTTCAAACCGAAGTACTGCAGACATGGTACGCAGCCAAGGACGGTATCATTAGGAAAGTTTTCCGTTCTGACGGTGGACTCAGAACACTACGACAACAACTAACGACAGTCTCTCTTCATGCTGAGGCCACCATCACTGTGGACAGATAAGACGATGTCCAAACCGAACTTTACTCCGTAATGTCTCTAGAAGCCACCATGGCAAATAACCTGGCTTGGCCGGTTCTACTGAAACTCATCGACCAGAAACAAACTTTGGCACCTCCTCACAACAGTGTGAGGGGATTGGGGATGAAACGGTAAAACTACGATCTCTCCGTTTCTACCCTGCTTTGAAGGTTGTAATCCTGATAGAAAATTGGCTATTGCCGGACACTAGCGACACCGAGGCAATTACATACGGTATGCGCTTATTCAGGAGAGGCAGGTGAAAGGGTTGGAATCTGAGTGACAATTTTTACAAGTGACCATCTCAAAAATGAACCGGTCACTGAAACTGTTCTGTTAGATACCTTAGACCACGTCTAGCGTCACTTTAATTTCGGTCACGCTAAATACGTGTTAGATGGGGTCCATAGAACCCCTACTAGCAAAGCGGAACAGAATCGATAACTGCTCCAGGTAATACCATCAGAGACAGCCATTGGGTATGGCCGAGTCTCCGTAGCGGGGGACTTTAGTGCCCCAAGTCTGCTTTGGGAGGGACTGGGCAGCTTCAACCAGAACCTACTCAACACCACTGAAAGGTCTGGGATGCATGAGTATATTGACGATGATGCTAGCTGGAGGTAGGGTGGATAACCATCCAAACCGAATTATCTTCTTGCTGGTGACCGTCTGCTAGCAGAAAATGTTCGGGTTCAAACCTATCTTGGGAGTAATCATCACGGTGTAGTTGTAACGGAAAACTGATCTGAAAATCACTCCCGATCACCCTTATTTGATTGTATTCACATTTATTTTAACATTTTTACCCTCGTTATGGATAGTGTACCTTTGACCCTAGCCGGTGTAATGTTATTTGCTTGTTTAACTGTCTTATTTGACTTTACACTCGGTATTTGCTTTTGTATGTTTGAGACTTACCATGAATGTTTCACTTTCCTATTATGTGACACTGGACTGTTGACAAGGTGATGTTGTTTTACTGCGCACGACTTTCTGTTTTGGTTCAACTTACGGTTGTGCAGTGATTTGACTGTTTGTCTTTTGACTGTCTACTGGGAACGTTTGTTTGTTGATTTGATTCCTGTAGGCAGAGTTTTGATCCCTTTTGCCGGGAATATTCCTATTGACCGACAGGTACTTAACAGTTGTATTTGTTTAACCAGTTTTTACCGTGTAGTACGTATTTGTACCCGAGAACGTTTTGGACTGTATAGTTACCCAAAGGCACTGTTGAGGTATTTTTGTAATTTGACATAACTTATTGTTGCTTTGATAGTACCACAGATTTTGTTACGAATCTACTATTGAATTACTACAAACCGTGTTTTGATATTTTGATCCAACCTTTGACTGTGCGTCACTCGCGGAGATTAGGAAGCTATACAGTGGAACGCAGGAACTAGTCAGATTCACGTCAGCTGGCACCGCCTAGTTATTTCCCGCGTTCAGGCCAAGATTATTGGATTCTGGCCGCTACAGTAGTAGTGTTTGATCTGTTGTTCTTTGAACAACTATCATGGGATATATCTCTCCCTTGTCTTTGCCACAGCGAGGCAAACTGCGTTGCAGTGAACCAATATCTGTAGACGGCACAATGGCTCCGGAAGTGGAGTACCTTATCTATTGGTCAGGGCTGGGAACTAGTGAAGAGCATCACTAAGAGGGCCATCTCTTCAGATCCCAAGTGTTCACAATAATTTCGAAGAAGCAAACCTAATGGTTGGGGCAAAGCACTGAACGCCCTTTGAAAGCCTAGAGAGAAGTAGAGAGTGAACGGAAGGTCTGCATATAGGAGCCGTATCATAGCACCCGTATGAGTCTGAGGAAGTGATGTAACATCAAGGTAAGGAGGGCGTGATATAGTTCCAGACAGCTCTTGACCAGAAGCATGAGGCAAACCTCATAAACTTATATCGATTCATGGCGGCTAGAAAGTCCAATGTCCAGGGAGATAGCGCTGCGGAAAGCCAGAGCGGGGAGAACCCCCATGGACCAGAGACTTCCGAAAGCTGCAAATGCATTGACTTCATCTTAATTGGTGTATTCCTCCATAGCGCTAATTCCATTTTCAAAGGTAATATTGCTGCAAGTCAATAACTTCTACGTAGTATTTCAACATGAAATGTATGATAGGTGCAGGGGTAGACACTGCTGGCAGTAAGTGCCAACCGGATGCACGTTTGCGTTGCAACGACTACGGACAAGCACTCATGCTCGAGGCTTTTAAGCACGGTGCCTTTCGTAATTTTCGACTCACAGCAACAAATATTAACGCCTTAACTTTGTGCCAGGGAGCGGGATTACAAATGAAATCTTGGTAAAAGTGCATTTCAGTGGAAAAGGTCGGGAATTTTAGTGAACGTTAGCTTTCCCCTGACCGTATTTTCACTCGAAGAGACGTTCAGGCTACACAGCCATAGCAGACGCATTATATAACCTTTGTTAACCTGTGTAAACTATTATTATTAAGAAAGCAGAACGTTTGGTTTATACGGCCAGGGTTCTTTTTTAGAACTTATTCACGTTAGCGTTGGCTGAGAATTCATTTCCGAATTTTTCTAGTATGGGACGGGAATTAACCTGATATCGCTCACTTCACGAGTAAACCTGTTGCATGGTTTTGCAGATGATACTACCGATGGGCCAGGTGGAATGTCAGAAACCCGTAACCGAGACCACCGTTGGCAATATCTGAGAACACGGTTGACTGTGAAATTCAAACAGGCAGTGAGGAAGTACGACACATCTGTGAAACCAGGTCTTTTTAAATGTACCGGAAGCAAGCGTTTAGGTTAGCAATCACAAATTATGAGTGTTCTACATGTGCATTAACGTGGTTGTTGATCATTTTCGACTGTTTGGTCATCGGGCAAGGAGAAGCAGTCGCAGCTTTGATATTGTATGTGTGTGATTCTTCTTCCTTCCCTTCCACCTCAAAAGGTAGAAATTTTCAGTTCATGCCCCACTGTATAGATCAAATGACTTTTATGACTGCAAAACTACCTCTCATGACTTTCAACCCAATACTTCTTACATTTTTGACTACGACAACCTTACTTTATTCATTCCCGACACGCTGAGTTACATCGTCTGAGGTGGATAACTGCTGCGAAACCGGTCCCAAATTCTCTCTCTCCCTCTGTTGGTCGTCGTCTTAAAGAAACGCAAACAGCAACCGAATATTTACAGGCATTACTATGGATTCTTTTGTAAGGTCTGACAACATACTCACTCACCTTCACTTCAAACCAAAACACTAATGGGAAGTTTTCGAAACTTTGACCCAAGATTATTCCCACAAGTAGGACGAATCACTATCTTAATCGACCCCATACTTTGAGGCTTACGGTTCACTCCAAAAGTGGGCTTAAGTACAACGAAGGTGTGCTTCACGTGAACATAGTGGGCATGAATGATAGCTCCAATTCATGGCATGCCTCACATAAGCCTGCTGAGAATAAAGTGTTTTTGGAGGCTTACGACATGCCACATAAAAAATGATAAGTCAGCAAATTACAACATGAAAAGCAGGTAGGAAGCAAGTTACTTTGAGGCGCAACCTGCTACTGTTCAGTGAAAGGTAGAGACATCCGGCTTTAGAGTCGTTGTCGTCACCCTTGAGTAACCATGGCCAGCACTGCCAACGCCAACAGTAGTTTGCCCTAACGGCATGCCTACAGAAGAAAATACACCTATCAGCTGCTTCCGGTGGGTGGATGGTGTTAATTGTAGCCTCCCCAGGCATAACAAATTCTGTTTATTGAATTAGACCACTTACACTGAAGCCTGGTTCCTATAATACTTACCTGAACACAAAAGTAAGAAATTAACTTCAGCCCTGTTGTTCAAAGCCAGCTGGAAACGTGAGTGAGCCGCAAAAACATCTGAAGGTAACTTTGAATAACGTGCACTAAATCGTCACTCAGTTAGTATCCGTAATCTAGTGACATTTTGCTGATCAGACAAACACCTATTTCTTCGCACTAGACTTTCGGTCTTATGAGACGGATGCAGGACTTAGGTGAATTCGGTGGGTAAACCCGGCCGTCTACTTCATCTCTAGGGGACCTGGAGTCCCATCTGCCGTTGATAAGATTTAAAGGGGAGTATTTGATTCGTCCCAAGACTGTGTTAGGTTCCTCACCAAGTCAACTAGAGGCAGACTGGTTGTCATTAACCTAATCCTTCGATGACACAACTTCGGTTATCATGGTTAAATGCCTTGAAAAAACTGAGGTATGTGATGAAACTTCCAGGCTGATGAATAACATTCCCAGTGTAACTGCCTACAGTGGTCAGCAGATTAGTAAATAAGTTCCAAAAAAGACCAAGACCCTATAATCCAAAGTTTATCTGACGCTTAAATCTTCCTTGAGAACAACAAAAGCAGGCAGAGTGCATCAGTAAGATTTTTGCCCTCCGGGCGGTTCTGGAACACAGGCCAACACCTGTGATATTTGACTTAAAAGTGGCATTCGACTCTACCAAGCGTGAACTGTTGCACCAACCTCCAACTGTGAAGACTGCCAGGCAGCTATTTAACGCTTATCAAAGCTCCCTTTTCGCACGTATGCTGCCAGGTCAGGGCTTGTCGGGGAGTTGCCATTAGAATTGATGACAACTAGGGATATCTGCCGAGGATGCCTGCCGTCACAGTCTTTGCTCATCCTCCTTATGGACATATTAATGAGCACTGTGTTAGGTTCCTCTGACTTCCTAGGTTCTGACCTACTACCTGTGGGGGGGGGGGAGGGAGGTATCTGGTTTACTTGGATTGCTCAGATGATATTGTACTGCCAGGTGAAGACGCCAACAAATACAGGGTCCTCTGAACACGTTGAGCGGAAATGACTATGTTCAGCATGCGTTTCACACCTTTCAAAAGCAAGACGATTCTTCAGGACTTGTCTACAACTGGTCCCGATTTAATGATAGACAATGAAGTGGTGGGATGCATCGACCGTTTCGCCAACTTGGGGAGTTGTATCAGCTAGAACCGGCTGGTTGCTGACGCAATCTGAGCTAGGATATGAAGGGACCGTTTGGCATTTGCCGGCTTGCGTCATCCTTGGTGCCTACTGGTGAGGTATCAGGCTACCTGGTTAAGGATGGAGGTACTGCACTGCAGTCCCCTCTACCATGTTATACGGCTGTAAAGTGTGGCTGTTAAGGGCAGAAGATATGAAGCGACTGCAGGTTTTTGACCTTATATGTCTTCGTATTATTGTTCGCGTTTGGTGGAATCGGCATTTGGGCAACACTTGGATCGGACGAGAGGTCCTAGACAAGGCAGGCAAATTGGTCGATGAAGTTGCGAATCTGTATTGACTGAAATGGCTCCGGCATCTACTGAGGATTCCGAGCCACCACATGCACTGATGTGCTATGATGGGGGAAGTTGGATTAGGTTGGAATAGGGTTCAGGATTGCTTAATCAAAACGTGGCAACTCACGATGATGTCTGTGACTCTTGGTCTGAAACATGTGGATATGTGAACCAGATCTATCGGGACGGTTTTGAGGCATGGCTTTCAAAGGTAGAAGATGGGAAAAGATTTCAGGTTTTTTTACCGTAGGTGTCTTTGTAGCATTGCTCTTTGACGTTTTCCAAAACTGGATTATTTTCACCAGTCTGTGTTTTCAAATTCCTTCTCCGGACACTTACTCGTTTATGCTTTAATGTCGTTCTTTTTCTACCTGTTTGTTCCTGGCATTGTACTTTGAGGTTGTGGCAAATGACTGACTAAATGACGAAATCAGTTGTGGCAAGTTGAACTGATGCATCTGTATGTTAGGTTCTACGTTGATTTGCATTTCTGTTCGATTGGGTTGTAAGAAGGCTCAGGGTGACCAGACTGAGACGTGGCACCAATGCATGAAGTCTTTGACTGTTGATCTGAACCGTGCATGGAGGTAGTTGTCGACTGCCTGGTTGCGGACGTGGAGACAGGGGAAGTCAACGATTGAAGGCTCTAAATGGCGTGATTGAAAACCGGCCACAGTGGTAATGTATTCACCCTTTGACGTCTTCTAAAGCTCGATTGATTTCACTGACCTTTATTTTCACATTCATTCTTCCAAGCATTTCCGTCTAGTTTGATATCACTTTTTTCACTCACTTTTTGTTTGCATGCTGCTGTGAAGTGTTGCAACTTGGACTGATGCACTTGTTTGCGAAGTCACACATCGGTCTGCATCTGTTTGTCTGCATTAAGACGATTTAAGCGGTGGCCTAAAATGCACGGTTATGATAATTAACTTATCATATCATCGAGTGGTTAACTTTTGTAACCAAACAGATTGCTCAGTTATTGATTACCATGGATAAGGGCTTCCTATGGGTGTCTTCCGTGTATAGCGAACAGCTTTTTTGTTCTAGTAACTGTTCTAAGGTTCCTCTGTGGTGTATCATTTCCATGCGTCGTTCAGATTCGGTTTGCTCATATATGTTCAGAATGTACATCCATCATGATTTTTTTGCAGCAATGGCAGACAGTGCGTCAGAGCTAGACTTGGAGTCTGATGCGAGTTCAGTTGATGGAACCAAAGATTTGCTGGTTACAAATGAACAGGTTTTACGGCGTATTGAATCGCTACAGCAAGAAAATCGCGTTTTGAAGACTGAAGTCGAAACCTTGAAACTGAAAATCAAAGGATTGAATGATTTAAATCAACAATTGCGTCGAAACAGTGTTAGTATAGTAAGTGTTTGTTATCCCGGTACATTCTTGTGCTGTAGCAAGCAAAAGCAGAACAAGAGGAGGAGTACATTAGCAATACATTGTTAAAAAAGATCACTGAATTAAAGAAGGAAAAAGAATCATTGGCGATAAATTATGAACAAGAAGAAGAGTGTCTGACTAATGAACTCAGTCGTAAGTTCACACAACTGAGACAAGAGAAAGATGCACTTGAACGAACTTTGGCACGTGAGCAAGAGAATCAGGTAGGTTCGCCAACACTCACCGTTCAGATGTTTGTTGCTGTTTAACCCTAGATAAGATCTTGGGTAGTAATAATCCGGTTGATATTTTTAACTCATTTCCGTTTATTGAGGAAAAGTCAATCATTTTCCCACCGTGTTCGTGGCAATGTGACATCACACTGTGGTGTTTTTCAAACATATTCTCTGAAGACATTTCTGAAATATTTAGATTAAAAGAAGAGAAACAGTTGAGTGTACACTAACTGCTCATAATGTTATTTGTGGCTCATTTCAAAACATTACTTTATGTACGGCTATGAGATTTTCACATTAAGTGATAGAAACGCTAGAATTTCAGTTCGCATATATTTTTACCATTCAGTATCCAGAACTTTCTTCTTTTAGCAACAAATTTGGACTTGTTCATGAGAAAGATGTCCCGACTCTTCTGTCTTTTTCTTTGTTAACCGATTCCAGGCCGGTAGCTGATGGCCGGGCTTGCATATCAGAGTGACCCAACGAGCTACACTGGCTGGAACACTTGTTCCCCCGAGGTCCTGCCATACCAGAAAGGCCTGTTGGATAGTGATAAGACGAAAGGTAGTGACCGTTATCATGTAAATTACCACATTATGATGGGAGTCTGATGGGAAAGTAGTGCTGCTTATTGGATGGGGTTATGACAACACTAAGGTGTTTCACTGGATAATAAGCAGTTCCGTGCTCATGCTGCCTTCCCAGTGGGAAGGGGTGGGTAGAACGGGTCGACCCCGAAAATGGCATACTTCTTCCTGCCCTGCGGTGTGCGTTTTCTCTATCTGGCGTTAGAACAACCGAACCTTAAGACAACAACCCGCAGAAGATCGTGTGTGATGGGCCTCAAGCCGATGTCCCACGGTCTCTGCAGTCATACAAATCCTTTTCTCTCTCGAGCAGTCCAACTATCCCACAACAACTCTTCAGTTATCCAGCACCCACCCTGAACCTGAATCGGACGAAAATGTTGGTCTTCCAACTCTCCTTGAACTTGAGAAGGCTGTATCGAACCTGAAACGATACAAACCAGTAAAATATGACCCTTAGCCATATGGAGTTACAAGGATGCAGACAGGAAATTACTAATTAAAGTGACGGAAGTGCCTCCTTAGTGTAAAGGAATGACTGATAGACCCATTACACTAATCTACTTAACTGATCATTACCAGTCTGTAAGTGGTGATACAAGTCTTCCAGTGAAAACCACAGGGGAATTAGCTTGACTAATATTGTATGAAAGATCCTACGGTCCATAGTTATGCAATGCCCAACTGGAGCTCAACAATACCAAACTATAGAAAACCAGAACTGGACTAGGGTGAATCGATCTGATTTTCACCCTCCAACCGCTCTCAAACAACACAGTCATACTCACCGGCAACCGACACTACCACAACAACTCAGTCGACTCTGTCGACTGAGTTGTTGTGGTAGTGTGTGTGACTGTGAAAGGAGTACTAAGCAAGCATGTAGTGCTTATCATAGCTGTCTACTGGAACTCACACAGGTGTGTCGGGGCTTATGGATAGTTGTCTTCTGAATTGATGAGAACTATTGATATCCATCAGGGATGATATCTGCCGTCAGCGTTCCTGTGTACCCAGAGAACTTTATCATCAAGCATGCAAAACGTGTAGGAAGCACAATAATACCCCCAACAGTACAGAAAAAAGTAACCTACATCACCTTACCATTTAAAAGTGATGACATGCTAGAGGCAGTTAAGTGAAGACTGGAAAAGTTCATCAGAAGTATTTATTATGTTGCCAAACTCATGTTTCTCTGCACCACGAAAACCAGGGAAAGATGAGGCTATATTTCTTGACACACCTAAATACATGTAACAATTCGGATATATATAGGTCGTATAGAGAAGCCTTCTTCTAGCTGAATGGTTCAGCACCTACCTATATGCTTGAAGTGTGTAGAAAAGACATTCAGTAACGAAACACCTAATAGACTATGGATATGATACGCATAAGTTCAGTATGATTATCAGTAGACATAAGAATAAGAAATTGCTTGCAATTTCAGAAGCTTGTGAGATTCGAGTTGTCAAACCAAACTTCTGCATTCAGGAGGAAATAGTAGTTGATACTGGGTGATGATTGGTAGTCAACTTGAATCTACCATGGTAGTAATTTTAATATCATGCAATCATATTTACTCCTCTCTACTTGATATTTGCCTTCAATTATCACTACTATCCTGTACTTCTAACCTTTTGTTCTTGATCCGTTTCGTTTAATAAACCTTATTCATATTACCATCGTTATCAATATTTCTCATTTCAAAATAAACCAAGTTTTCTTATGATATCGACTTGAGTGATTAATAAACTACCCTGTTCATGATGACGTAATCTACCATCAACCAACTCATTTCCCACCAGTGTCAACATTATTATTATTTTCTCACCCGAAATCTATATGATTCTTTAGACTGCACTACTATGCAAATTCAAATTTGTCCCCAACCTATTCAATTTGAACACTCACTACCACCCTTTGCACTATCTCCTGACCTGTAACAATCGTTCACATCTATGTTGTTACACCTAAATCGATGTCTCACTCTACATTATATATATATATATATATATATATATATATATATATATATATATATATATATATATATATATATATATATTCTTTTGCATCGTTTAGTAGGACATCTATTTAGAGTATCTAGTTTAAGGGTTCTACTGAGATTTATGAATTCATAAATCTTGCTTTTTCACACTCGTTGCTTTTTTAAGCTTGTATGTATGTATATGTATTTATGTATACAAAATTCTTTCCAAAGCTAAAGGAGTAGTTGACATAAAAGAAAAGGAGAACTTGACGAAAACCATCTTTAAGATGAGTATATACAACCCCACCTTTTATAATGTGTGATAAGTTCGCGGCTTACGCGTAGACTCTAGAGGTTTTTGGTTCACCTATTTCATATTCTTATGTTGAGGATATTGCACGTATACAAGAGTTGACACAGGATTTATATCTATCTGGATATTGCCTTTATACGTGCAATATTCTCAGCATAAGAATATGAAACAGGTAAACCAAAAACCTCTAGAGTCTACGCGTAAGCCGCTGCGGGGTTGTATATACTCATCTTAAAGATGGTTTTCGTCAAGTTCTCCTTTTCTTTTATGTCAACTCTTTCAAAATGACTTAATGATTACTACTGTTTCAGAAAATAGTTGTAAATGAAATGCCAACTATTCCTTTAGCTTTGGAAAGAATTCTGTATACGTAGACAATTGTTAACTTGATGGGCAATTGGGAAGATACTCATGTGCTCAAATCAATCAAGCTACCATCACTTCATTAGTGACTAAAATGACCAAGTTGAAACGAATGGCAGCAGGTGATTAAACTAATTTGGAATAGGTAAATATCACCACACATCTCAGCTCCTCTGGTAAGTTTGAAGTAGCTGAATCTACAGAAAAAGATACAGATAGAAGAACCAATGCTATAATATTGATGCATTGTAAAGTCATTGTAAAGTTATAGCAAGACAGGTAAATAATGATCAGAATAGTACTTTTGAAGACAGCGGCTCAAGAAACGCTACAGTATTTACGAAACTGACATTTTTTCTGAAAGGAAACACTTATTCACACACAATAGCATCAAAACACTAGCGTAGAGTTTGTTTGCAGGCACATTAATTATGAATAACAGGAAAACTAATAATTGGCTGTGGAGAGATGAGTCCCGCTTAGCCATTAACTACAAGATATTCCAGTGAAAAATATATCCTACAGCTTTGGAACATAGGTCAAACAAAAACAGACATCCAGAATACAGAGTGCCTATGCGCCTAATGTCCATGATCCACATTTTTCTGGATATAAACCAGTATATGCTTAAGCAGGCGTCTTTGTGGCCTGGTTCTCATTGAGGGTGAAAAACTACCCAAATCTATGATTTAGTTTTATCATGTTTTCCATGAATTCAAAATTGATAGAATTGAAAAAAAGTTGATAGAATTACGGAAATGATTGATGGCTCAGAATCTGTGGAGGTGAATTCAAGTGTGTACTCCCAAATGCTGTTAACTTGATTAACAAATGGAGAGTCTAGAAAATACTGAATGATAAGTGAAGACTAGCTATTCTGTAATAAATTAACAAAAACTTCCATAAAATAACGTCATGGAGAAATATTTTTTTCATCTATTGGTTAGAATTCATTAGCTGCTAACTGACTCGCCTAATAACCCTCATTGACTAATTGCTATCACAGTGGTTGTATCTTGGTCACACCTTTTGTATATAAATGACTATTAATTTCATTAAAGATTATGATTATTATTGAATACAAACTCAGTTGGTCAGCAGCTCAGTTCTTTGCTATTTCTTCACTTGGGATATTAGGGTAGTCCCTGTTCGAAGACAGTGAGTCAACAGTGCCAATTTATCAGCTAGTGTTCATGTCAACCAAAACATAAATTTGGCGAGTATATAAACAGATATCACTTTAGTATTCCTCACATAATGGTCATAGCAACAGCTAAGCTTCATCACCCAGTGAAAAAACCGAAGTAAACGAAGATGGTGAATGCAGTGACACATAATACCATGTCAACGCATGTATAATAAAAACACTGCAACCATTAATTTACAATAGGAGAAGGTGTAGATTATCTGAAACGTCTGTTGTGTTGGAGCAATACATTCCGAATAGAGGAGACTCACTAATTTACAGGTCGAAAGTGGTCAATGTAATCTCAATCACACAAATACTTCGAGTTTACAAGAAAATCGAACACACAATGCGGTCCAGTTAGCCTAATTCTTGAATAAAATTTCACTTAACAGTTATAGATTGGTTCAAGTGGTAATAACGTTTAAAGAACACTTCTACTTAACGAAAACCTATCATACTAATCACATCTCCATAGGAGTATTTCAATTATGAATCTCATAAAACATTAAGTCTAGACACATACTATCAGTTAGAAATTATTTTCTTATCAGTTGAATACAATCAAAATGTGATCCAGTGTTCAGCAAAAATAAATGATGACTAGATACAAGATATACTGCCCTTAGACAACTAACCCATTGGATTTTTCAGTTGTAGCACATTTCAATTTCTCTTGACTTTTACTCAATGAAGGTATACAGAGGGTCACACCTGAAAAAGTCAAACAATATTTATGAGTCTGATGTAGCTCCTTTTCTAAGTGAAGCATAAAATTATGAGATATAAAAAACAGTAACTGTGTAGCGGATTCAAAATCCTACTCATTCACCTAAGAGTTTCGATTACTAGACTGCCTCACGTCTTCGCTGTCCAGCTCTACCGTTTGTCAGTTATCTTTTATTATTAAATGTAAGTAAATCATGTGTACTTGCTGAGTCGTCGCTTCACCTTTCTTCTCTTCCTTTCTTTTCTTTCCCAGATTCTCGTGGCCACCACCAAACTCAAACTGCTCCGTGCGCCCCCTACGACAACGTACCTATCTACAGGCTAGACGTAAACCCATCAACAGCTGGTCGTTACAACTGTGTTAACGGCAAAACTGTGGTTAATTACTTTAAATAATAAATTTTTAAACATCGGAGCATATTTTTGTAATTCATCCCACTTATCTAGGCTCAGTTAACCTGGCAGCATCACTAACCCCTATAAAATAAATAGAAGTGACTCATAATTTGATCTAAACATCCACATGTGATCGGACAAATTATAAAACTGTTAAAAATTTTGAACAGTAAAACTGATACCACCAACTGCTAGCCAGTTAGACTAGGTGAAAGAAGCCGGGATGTAAGTACATATCCCTATTATATATCCTCAGCATAACTCTAAAAAATCAGCTGGGACAATATCACACTGCAAAGAAGATTGAAGACACTGATGTTTTTCGCTTCGTGGCTAGAAGTGAAGTCTAAAACGCACATTTCGTCTTGTTTGGAACTGGATGTAACTGTAGTATTGTTCTTATCGTGACTCCGGCCATAAACCATCACTTCAAGCGTCTATAAGCTACTGAGTCATTAGAACCGCTCTTGTGCAACAAGTATTATTTTTCTGATTTTACTGATGCCTGTAATCACTGTCGATTATGATACTACACCAAATTGAACGGATTCTTTAGTGTTCCAAAAAGGTTTAGTGCGGTATTCTTACAGTATAGATATGAATCGACCAGTAAGAAAGTAGGAAAGATTCACAAGGTCGAACAATAAGTATTCTATGTAAGATAGTAATTGCCGTCAATGTTTACTTCTAGTCTTTTGGGACGAATATGTCTATATCTGCTTCCTAACAGTGCCTTGGAAATATTAGTCCAGTGCACTATTTTGGCAGCAAGACTGCGTTGCATGAAGTGAAATGAAGAGGGATAAAAAGCCACTGTGAGCTTCAAGTTTCCGTCGATGATCAATTAGTTAATGGCACTCAGAAAAGTTTTAACGGTTAAATTAATTAGTGAAATGTTGCGACAAAATCAGGATGGGAAAAGTGACCCTACATATTACTACTACTTATTTCACAATTTACTTGTTCGACAACTATAACTTTCATTCATGGGATATTTTTTCGATAAAATCATACTGACTTCAGATAATGTGATACAGTTCTTTTAAAGCATTTTAAACTATGTTGCAAATGTTCTAGTGAAGAATTCCTTCGCTTCCGACTATCAAAAGGAATCCAGAACTACTATAACCCTACAGGATGACCGACAGCTATTAATTAAAGACAATATATCAAAACAGGATTGACAGACAAACAGACAGACGGAGAAAATCAAAGCAATCAAATCAAAATCCCCACACTACAGTAGCGTGCAAAGAACAAGTAGACAGATAAAGATTGATATCAAAGTAGACAAAGTTGTGTGAGACAATAAACAATTTGAAGATAATAGTCGGTGTAAATATTTAAGCTTTAGAAGACGTCAACAAGTGAATATATCTGCGCCATTGTTACCGAGTTCCAGCTATTTCATCAAGACTCCTCAGCCAATGGTTGCCTTAGTAACAAGGACCCCGACCAGGTAGACTACATCTCTCTATACAGATCAGACTAAAAGTCAGGGACTCCAAGCACTGGTGCTAAGTCTTGGTCGGACCACTCTGAACCCTCTTCCAATCTTATCCAACTTTCTCTAGCATGGTACAACGAGATAAGCGATGGCTGGGGATGCTCAGTATGCTTCCAAACCATCTCAGTCGACTGAGGTTCACAACCTCACGATCGACTTGCCAAATATCCTTCACCTGACCTCAAAAATCCTCACAATGATTCTACTAAACGCGAGCAGTGCCATGAAGACACATTAAATCAAAACCCTATAATCACTTCACGTTTTCTACTTTCAGCGGCCACCTATCACAGCCGTGTAACAAGATAGAAGGAACTATAGTGAAGTACACTTATCCTTTAAGAGGCAGATGAATATCTCGCCAGTAGATGAAAATGGTGATGGCAGTTGAAAAATGCCAAAAGTGCTTTCTGTATCAGAGCTGAAATTCTGTCAATAACCAGCCTCTTGAGAGGTTGCTGTAACTTCCCAGGTAAGTGACAGCCCACCTTATTACTTTCTATCCCTAAAACCTAGTGCACCTGCGGAGTAATCCTGAAGCACTATCTGACACCTCACGGACACAAACTTAAGTCAAACACACTCATATTTCTGCTCAACGCCCTCAGAAGATACTGCATTTTGTCAGCCTCTACACCTACCAGGACAAGACAATATCGTCTGTATACCCTAAATAAACCACATACCCACCTCAATGGAGTAGACCAATCACTGCGAAGCCATACTCATATAACGCCATGTCCATTGTAAATCTATAGCAAAATTAAACAGGAACGTTGACAGCAAATATCATCCCTGATGGATATCAATAGTTCTCATCAATTCAGAAGACAAACTATCCATAAGCCCCGACACACCTGTGTGAGTTCCAGTAGACAGCTATGATAAGCACTACATGCTTGCTTAGTACTCCTTTCACAGTCACACACACACACACACACTACCACAACAACTCAGTCGACAGAGTCGAATGCCGACTTCACGTTAACAAATATGGCATATGTCGGTTGCCGGTGAGTATGACTGTGTTGTTTGAGAAGCGGTTGGAGGGTGAAAATCAGATCGATTCACCCTAGTCCAGTTCTGGTTTTCTATAGTTTGGTATTGTTGAGCTCCAGTTGGGCATTGCATAACTATGGACCGTAGGATCTTTCATACAATATTAGTCAAGCTAATTCGACAGCTTCTCATAAAATTCATCCTTTGCATCGTGTGAACTGCAGTCAGTGGGCACGCAGGTGGGGATTATGAATAGGCAACGCCTAGTCCCACCATCCCTCCTAGTTCTTACACATTCATTCAGTCGAGCAGCACATAAATGGCTATTGATTGATATCCAGTTGAGAGGCGCACTTTCTGGTTTACAATCCAAAGCTATGCCTACACCAGCGAGTTGACGACAGCCAGCCGTTGGGTCTCCAGATAGTCGTCAGGTGAATTTTGAAAATTCACTGCTATGGCTAGCTGACGTCAATTTAATAACCATACTTGGATTCTGTCTGCATTCGTGTCTCACAGATATAGCACACTTCCGTGACTAAAGTTTCCAAAGTTTTGACGAGCGAAGCTTGATGTCCGATTTGGCATAAACTTCGCATGTTGAAAGTCCCTATATGAAATCGATGGTGGCGTCTCAGGAGACTAGGATTGACGCTTTGTTGTCTTTGATCATTTGCAGAGGTTGCAGAGTGAGAGGTTGAGTAAGTTGTAAGAGGTTTAATATTAGCATGAGGAGGTGAAGGCAAAGGAGACAGAGTTGAGGAGAATAGGTTACGTTTGATTGGGTCTTGTGCACTACTGAAAGTGTGTAGACGGTTGAAACTTCCCGACTGCCCACACCGTTGAATGCTATTGTTCTCAAAGTACCTTCATAAAATTCGATTTTAAATTCTGCTGGCTTCATCCTGATTTACAGTGGCAATCTGCATTCACGTATAGCTTCCACCGGAACAAGTTTTAAGGAGAACGACCTTGATGTTTAAAGAGCTTAACGGGGTTTTAAGATAACTGTAGTAAGAATCAGACTTCAGCTTCAAATGTTCAGATAGCAAAATAGCCTCCACAACTTCTACAAAATTGGGGTAGCTAATGACAAATCACAAACGGTACATGTTATAGTCCGTTGTGTCACCAACCATCTCCTTAGAAAAAGTGAACGAAATCCTTAACTTTTGTACCATACGCCTACAGAGCACCCAAAAAATTATCACATGAGTTCTAAAGTGAAATTAACAATTAATGAGACATATTAACAGAAGATATAATAATTATTACCAGAAAAAAATAAAGACATGCTATTTTCATTCTTAGCTTATATTTCATTCTCGTTTTCTAAAAAGATGTATCCTTAGAAAAGCGAGATACTCAGTTGATCTAATATAACACTAAGGACTAGCGCAAGAAATCTATAAATTTTACAACCAATAGACAATGTAGTCTTCAGCAAATATCCAGACAAATGCATGTATCCAGAATGAGAAGTAAAAAGTAGTTTTAGTAGCAGATGTAAACTTACCAATGTTTGATTCATTTTCGATTTTAGTTGAAATCAACTTTTCAGCACTAATGTTTTTAGCATTGTTAAAAGGTTTTTGTGATGATGAAAGCCCTTTGTCTGACAAAACTGATGAAGGATCGAGACAGTCCTGATGTCCAGAGAGTATAGATGACATCGGTATGGCAGAGTTTTCTTGATAATCATCCCCTGAACGACTGGAATTATCGGGAAAACCTGAGAAGTCATGCACTGTCGAATTTTCAGGCAATATACGGTTTTCTGAACTACTTGTGTTACGCAATTTGACGACAGTGGTATCTGGATCAATTTTTGTAGGAGCATCATTTATGACAGAGTTCTGACATGTGGTCGTAGACTGGTCATGATTTCGAGACAGGAGATGAGTGGATAAAATTCTTGGACCAACAGTAACCAGTGACATCAACCTTCTATATTCTGGATACAGAAGTGGGATTATCTTATTTTTGTACCTATCTAGACTCTCACAAACAATTGGATCCAAAAATGCAGCGGCTGGAGCTTGGTTATATATGTGAATTAGGGAGGCTGAGTAATCAGTCAAATCTGTTAGGCAAAAAATAAAGTAAATGACAAGAAAGAATTAAACGTCAAATGTTTGTAACTGAAATAGAAAAACTGATTAAAAAAACTCCAGGTACATCCAACTGATGAGTCCCAAATAGAACGAGACGCATGTCCTGAATTCCACTGCCAGCCACTATCCATAATTAATATCAAAAGTAAAAATACAGGTAATATTGAGGCATCTATATAGGAGTCCATATGCCAATAGAGACCGATCAATTCGGTCTTATCAATGATGCGATAACACAAGCGACATCACAAAAACGTTACACCCATTGAAATTCAGTGACTATGCATCCACTTTAAAAAATGTAGTTCATAATAAGTATTACAAAAAATCCCCAAAATATACTACTTTATCCCTCATTTACACCAAAGTCATCCATCACGTAGAGCACTGTACAAAAGTGCAGCAGCTTATGTCATACTTCACAACAACATTAGTTGAAAGATTGGAGACAAATGAGGAACGTGAGGCAAAACATAACAAGACAATCAAGATTGGTCAGATGTCCAGAATCGCGAAGATGAAAAACAGTGAAGACACAATATATATATATATATATATATATATATATATATATATATATATATATATGTCTGCATTATAGTGAATAATTTTCACCCATGTTACTGACGATCATACAACTACGACTACAAACAAAACATTTGCATCTTTTCACAAGACTAACACCTTTAAGCAAAATAGTTTATCATTTTAAAAATACAAGTCAAAACTTTACAAATGTAACTATCATTAATTAGCTCCGAAAAGAAACGGAAACACCAATGAAAACTTCTTAGTGGGTAAACTTTAAATATCAACATACTTATCAGTCGATTCACCGCATTTGAAACATCTCTAGATTCAGCTTCAGGTGATCGAAAATACTGTTCCAAAAAGTGATTTGATGCAGAATAGTTTCCAAGAATTTGCTCTTTTCGCTGTTCACACAAAGATGTTATGTCATCTTCAACATAACAACCTTCACTGCCTTCAGTGCTAACAGGTAAATTTGCTTCATCGCTTACATGGGCAATATTCAAACATTGTACTCCAGCTGTTAAATTCCGCACATCTGCAGAATTATCCACACCACATGAAGGCTTTTTATGAATATTCGAAGGATGATGACTACGTAACACGTGGAATGGCATTGCATTTGGTGTGAAAACAGTGGGTTTGAGACCGATTGCCCGATCGATAAAACTATGCAGTTGAGTTGGCGCAGTGCTTAAATCATCACTGACAACAAGCACCACATGGCACACGTTTACTAAAATGCCACAATCTAAAAGGTATAAATATATCAGATGTGAATATAAAAATATGGAATACTGGAAACCCCTAAACTAGCGCAAAATGTTATTCCAAACATGATAACTCAACCTATTTGTTTGGACAAACTCATAGGTTTATTCAAAATATAATAATTTGCAGTCTTCAAAAATATTCACAGATTTCAGACATCGACTATATGGCTTAGAATGCTCTTCCAAAGTTATTTCAGTGAAGCGAAAAGTCGCTAGTACAAAGGTGAGGATATTTACCCAGGTTATTTTACATTGAAACTGAAACTTCGCAAAGTTAGGTAAAACAATACAAATCCAGTAAGTAACTGAATACTATGACTTTACTACGCATAAAACTCGATATAAATTTCATTGGATACAATTCATAAGCAAATGTAAAATAAACTTGTCGGTAATTTAGGACTGAATCTATAAGTCACCCTAGTAGCCAGTGAAATAACCAATCAGATTCCTAGATTTCACCTAGAAAAGTAATTCTTAATTAAGTAGAGAAATCAATTCGGCTATTTCAGAAATCGTTACCATGGCCTTTAAAGTCAATCTGAAAAGTATGATAATTACATGAATTCAATCTTTCTTACGAATGAACGCATTCACTGATGTGATAATGCTATAGTAAATAAATCTTTATCGACAAAACGATCAAGAAGCTAATAAAAGAAAACGAATGTACATAAGAACAAACAAGCATTTGTATTTCAGTACTGTTGTATCCATCAATTGGAATGTTTAGTCATGGAGCCCTTACCTTCACAAAATGTGAAATTATTAATAAAGACTTTAAAATAAAAAATACTATGAAATCTCCTAAGCTGTTTTAAGCAGCCTATCCAAAGAATTCGAAATGTGACTGGTTATCCCCAGTAGCTATGTTTTCACTGTCTGTCCGCATTATTCTGTTTGGATTAGAAATCCCGACCTTCTAGATGATTATCACGGACTGGTAAACATGTTTTTTTAAAGATCATAGATACTTGAGTGACCTTAACACTAGCATGGTATGGATTTCCAATCACAACGTGTTTCAAGTTTACAGAAGACAGCACTACTATATCATTCTTTTGAATTATAAATCCCCTTAAGCTCCGCCATATCAAAGTATTCGTACAAACAAAGCTTACCTGCATAGACGCCATTTCAGCCCAAACATCCAAGTTCCAATTACCAGGACCTATGGGAGATGAAAGTCCTGTATGATTTCCAGCTGACGTTGATGTCATTTCTGCAGAAGTGGCCATATGAGTATGATAATTTGTGAGTGCAAATGAGAGAAGAGGCTAGAAAAACAAACCCAAAAATACCTGAGAATACTATTGCACAGAGGGAAAACAAATTACGCGTTACATAATGCCAACAACCGTGTTCATGGAATAAAAAGTAGTAGGACTAAATGCGTAAAACGCATGTTTACACTTCTAAATAAAACTTCGAACAAATACCTTTTGGTTTTATAAGTGTAGCCATACAAATTACAGATTTGATATCATGAGACAAAATAAACAAATAAATATTTTATTCGTATACTATGAATTTAACATGAAAGAAACCAGTTTACAGGCATCATCATATTGATATTTGTTGAAAAATCTACAAGATTTTAGGGGTCCTGAATGGTGCAGAAGGTAGGTCATTAAACCGTATTAAAAAAATCAAAAGATTCTGTTAGTTATGAAACGAATAAGAAAGTATCGCTTTTCAGCATATGCAGTGTTACAGCTTAGGTCGTTTCCAATCACCTTTTTTCACCATAGGTGGCACCAAGGTTGCGCAGAACTTCAAGTTTTCGTTACAAGCAGTCGACATGTTTGACTCGTCTTCATAGTGCCACGTTACGTTACATAAACGTCTATTTTATCATAAATTCTTACGCTTACAGCTTGAGAGACCGAAAGATCCCATACTGACGATTTCGGGAATCAGTAAGTTCCCAAATAACCACGTAATCCAGATAAATATCAAGTTCAAGAATTCACACTTTTTCGAATGAGACTGCTCCTTTTTCAGAATGATTAAAAAACCAGTAAATAATGCTACACCTGTTCTAAAGACTTTCAAATCAAGAGCTTTAATCATTACGAAGACTCTCAACTCGGTTTTTCTTATAACAACCGTCTGACAAACAACAACAGCTTGTAACCACAAATAAGCTACTAGATCGAAAACAGCTAAATATTATAAGTTTGTTCTATATCGATATAGCCTCACAGAGAGAATGATGTGTTTAATAGAGCGTTATAAGGATCGCATAAAAGGAGTTTACCTAAGTCAGAAGACAAGTTCAAATGCCTCATTTTTGTTTTCAGTTTACAGTCTCCTGAAGATGTTGATGTGAGTGCTAACACCTTGACCAGTATTGAAGTTCCCAAATAGAAAACTTCGAAAAATTGCAAGCAGGTATCAAGCGTTAGTGACCTTGAAAAGAGACAGTTACGGTTGAAAGTGACAGTCAACCATGTAATATTCATAATGTCCTACTGATCATTTAAGCAATGATAATGGTGAACCAATATAATTGTCTACATGTTGGGGATGTGGTGGGTGGCACTTTGTGCAATCTAGTTAGCTTAAGTATGATCCTGATACTAAGTGTTCATGACAAGGTAATGAAGATGGACAGTGTAAATCTAAACTCCGAAAAAACCACAGTTGTACTCCAGAGTTTTTAACTCAAGCACTCTAAATTGAATGCGACAACAGTATTGCACAGAATCGGACCAGGTTCACAACGAAAATATATACCCCCAAGAATTTATGCGAAACAGGTCCGTCTACAATTTGACACTGCTTCCAAAGTTTTACCCATCAGAAAACGAAAATAACGACAAACAGGCAGGCCGAAATTTCCCCTAACTCTAAGGTTTATTTACAATGCATCACAAGGCCAGCTGCATATCAATGGTATCGGTTATTATACGACTCAACGAGTACTGTGAACTTGCTTCGAATTAAATGATAAGGCTTGGGGAGTTAAAATAAGGGTCGCAATTAAAACTGATGGTGTACAACCTGATATTAGACCATACTCTAGTGGGAATAGGTCTATCATTGCGTCCTATATAAGAAATGCAGCCACATGAAAAAACCCTCAGAACTAAAAAATCGTGTGAGACGGTTATACAAGAAATAATTCCCTTCCATTCAGTCGAAATTAGAATCATCAGAATTGTGCACGAGCTTATCTATATTCAGCGAAATCCTTTTAATAGTCAGCATCCATCGACAAATCGCCTAACAAGCTTCGCCAGCGAAAACACCAGTGTCTTCGGCCAGGTGTGGGTCCTGTGTTTGCGAAGAACGCATACAAAGCCAAAGTGCGGTTATTCACTCAACCTCACCCGACCAATACAGTGAACCTGAAAAAATTCACCATACAAGTTTGTGGGGATTCAACAAACAAGTTATCGCTGTTCTGCAGAAGTACGTACAACACTAATTACTAACGCACGTCCACTGCTCCACTGCATCCCAGTTGACGATTACCTACCTATGTGCTGTTCAACTGAACGGCACAATTAAAACCAAAAAGACTAGTGGGACTCAGTGTCGTCTCATCGCATTCTCTTCCTGCGCACCCACAGACTACAGTTCGTATGAAGCGAAAGACTAGTTCCACCAAAAACCTGTCTAAACTCATACTGCAAACCAAAAGTTCACATGTCGTCGTCGCAGCAGGTGATTCCAAGGCACAACTGGATGGACTAAGTCAGACAGAAAGACACTCAGGTGACACTTTCAGAATTCCAGTCCAACGAACACCCAGCAGTAATCGCTGGCAAAGACTGTGCTCAAACAAACATCGACATCCGGGCAGCATGAGCTTTAGACACACTGTTCACGCTGCGGCTCCAGCACGCGTATGTCTGCAACTAAGTGGAAACAGAAAATTCATGGCAACAGCGTCACTCCAACTTCAACTCGACGACGACAATACGAAAGCTCACTTCTGCAAAAGCTGGTTAGACAGTTATACGGATAGGACAGTGTCACTCAAACAGAGGAAGTCTGGTCCCATCTTTCGTCCCATGTGAAAAGAAACTCAAAAACAGCAGCTGACTTTCCGAAACTCATTACAAAGACCCAGGGAATCTCAACATCTTCCTCAACAATAATCCATGTGTGGGAACGCACTTCTGCACGACCCAAACATAATGAAGTCCGAAAGCGACTCGAATTGAGACTGACAAGAAGTTTGAGCAATGACATCGTGCCGTGGTGGATAGCGAAAACAAACGGCGGGGAAAAGGTACCGGTGATAAGTAATCATGGTTAGTGAGACTACAACGTAGAAGCATGAAACTGGGATTCACTTGCAGAAGAGACAGCTGGAATGATGGATGCAACATTTCGACGAACATTTCAACTCGCCTACAACTACCAACCAATTGCTCCCTTTACGGTGAAATCATGAACAGAACATTGAAATAAGGCATCCAACTATTACCGAAGTCGACAATGCTATCAGAAACCCAAAACCAGAAAAGATAAGAGAAATACATTGGTTACTATCCACGTTTCTATGGTCAGTGGTCCAGGATTATTGATCAGCTTAGCTGAAATATTGGTCAGAGTATGAGAATCAGATATGATCCTCTCCAACTCGCATCAATCACTCACTGTCTCAGAAAGGCGAGAAATTCTTTTGTGCCAACTACAGGGAAATCAGTCTGATAAAAGAAGTTTCGAAGATCCCAGATCCGATGATTGTTAGACGTAAAAGTGGAGCCCGACTACACAACATAACACCCGATAAAACCAGGCAGATAGATGGTAGCCATCTTCGTCCTCCCACATATTTGGGAACACACATACACACCTACCGATGCCCGACATTAAGCGCCACTCGACTCCATCCGTCGAGAGATCGCGTCACAATGTTTCACATTGAAACACATGATAAGTAAGCACGTCACTATTGAGGGACCTGTATTCCAACGACCGCGAGTGTGTCAGTGCCCATGGTGTGTTGTGCACATCAAGTAGTGTTAAACAAGAAACTCCATCCTCTCCACTCATTCAATCTTGTCAAACAGGTACTCATCCTGGTCTCTCCACTACCACCTAAATTTACATGGACAATCCTTGTTACACCCCCGCAGTACGCACATGAAATAATCCTGTCAGGTGAAGATATTGACAAAATGTAGTCTACTGGACGCTTTGAGTGGCGACCTCAGGATCTTTCGGAGTCGTTCCCCATCACCCAAATGCAAATTGTCACTTCACGAAAAGTCTTCGCCACTGTCTTGTTTAACAATAGGAAGTGAAGTGGTTAAGTGCACTGATCACTGCACTTATCTGTAAAGTCGGATTAGTCCTAGTGGTTCGACCCGTGGTAGACGAAATCCCGGTACACATACAAAAAGCTTACTTTCACCAACTCACACCATTTATGGCACTGCTGTGATGCCCAATAGCTTATTAATGCTCGAGTATGCTGCGCTGCAGTTCGCTTCGTTCTACTACATGGGCATTTCACGTAAAGGACATGAGAAGACTTTAAGTACTTCAGCACTGCTGCTTTCGAAGAAAAGGTCATCTGTCGTGGAGTCACCACGTCAGCAACGCAGAATTCAAGTGTGGAGTTCCAGTGAAACAAGGAAGTCAGTCGACAGGACTGTGAATTGGCATCAACTCGGGCAGCTAGGATATATGTTACGCAAGCCTAGTCACCTTCTAAGCCAACATATAGTGTTAGCTGAACTAGGTTGGAAAAAGGCTATAGGCAACCACACTAAAACATAACACCAGTCCATGAAGACCATGACTAACAATTTGACTTGTGTAAGGAAATGCAGACTTACCAGTTGAGGTACGCCTGACAACAAAACCTGGTGGTTCAAAACTACGTGAAATGGTTCAGTATCAATCAAAATGGCGCAGATGTATCCACACATTATCTTCACCTTAACTGTCATGTTTAAATCTATTATTCTCTCATTCATGGTTGCTCTTTGTTGACAACGTCCTGCCACTTTTGACTACTTCCTTCCTTATTTCTTGGTCAATTTTCGCTCGATGTGCGAATATGAGGTTTGGTAAATTTAATCGTAATGCAGTAATGCTAGGCTCCATGTTAATATTGTTTGCCCTGAATTCCAGTCTTGTACCAACCGCTTGCGAAATGCTATCTGTTCTCATAATTCGTAGGCCTTGGCAAATGCATGACAAACCGATCCGCGAAGAGGAGGGAGGATTTCGTTCAAGTCTTAGAAGCAATGATCATGTTTCCAGCCCGCACCAGATATTGTAACACTACTATGCGTATTGCAGGCCAATTATCACTGTTTTCCTTAACAGTGCGGATGATATAATTCATTCGATAGGGCGGTAATCTGAAACTGCCGGTTAGGAAGGGGTATCCTTGAGAGGTTCGTTAATACCTTGAAAGCCCCATACTTTAACACCTAAAGTAGGCCGAAGAGTTAGAGCGACCTATCTTGATTGCTTTAAGTAGAGTTAGTCAGGACAGCCTGATTACACCAATTTTCTTTAAATTTATCATCGTATACATTCTAGAGGTAGCCCTGAAAGAAGCGCTTGCTGATGAGGTAGATATATCTTCAGGCAGAAGACTTTTCGATCCCGAATAGGCCAATGAAGTTTTATTGGGTGGAAAACATACAAGCCAATCAAATTCAACTCAACCAGAACGTAAGTATGAACTTTGCTTTGTGCTATGAAAGTGCCAAGTGGTACAACGAAATTGTCAGGAGTCTGTACATGTGCTAACCCTGGATATTGAGTAGCCGGAAGTGTTCGGAAAGTCAGTACATTTGGGCATTTACATGAGTTCTGAAAAGCTGTGATTGACGAAGTTTTCAGCTGCATATCAAAGACGAGGGTGACATCCGCCAATGTATGTCATATTTGGTGCCATGATGATGCTATTCTTGTTATAAAATGTTGGGTATACAATGCGTTGGTGCGGGAAGTTGTGCTGTGCGCCTATGAAACCTGGTCTCTCTGAGCTAAGGATGTCCGACATGCCATGTTCGATCACCACTGTCCTGATAGGTTTGCTCATTAAATTAATTGTGAGGTAAGACGAGGTGATTTAAACAATCATTCATCGAGTGTGTTCATCTAGAAACGCCTGCTTCGTTGGTGTAGGAACGCGCTACACACTTAATCCCAACGCCTCCTATACAGCTCACTACTTACTTGCCCTAGCACTAATTGGAAGAAGCAGATGGGTGGGTAGTATATCACATGGAGTTGTAAGATGTAGGTAGGTTGTGTCAGGTTGGTGTCCGTAGGTGCCTCGCGACTCTTCAGATGGGACCCGAGAGATTATGGAATTCAGAGGCTTGAGACTACAACAGACATGGCTAAACACCGAAATCATTGGTGATCATACCATAGTTATACTGCTTTTTTGGATGTATCTCCAAGACTGCTTCCTAAATAATCCGCACCTACTTTTTTAACACCACCTCTTACATTTTCTGTATCGTTGTCCCATTATTTTTTATAGCACATCTCCTGATACCTGTGTTGTACCAAGTTTGTGTTTTAATAGCATAATGATGATGATAATAATAATAGTAATGATAATAGTGTGACATAAGTACAACAATTTCTAACGGGAATATACATAATCAATTCGAAGCTTAAGTCAACCTGCACTGTCTTATCGACGTAAATAAACGATAATATACTTTTTCCTGGTTCTACTAGACAGTTACAGATGATTGGAGGACTCCCAGTGACATCACGCAGCAGAGAGGTTTTGCCTTAAAAAGTTATTAACAGTTTTCGGCCTCACCGGAAAACAAAATAAGCATATTACCGCTAAAAGAAGTAAATCAGTGGAGTGTTTCTGGCTACTTTATTCAGAAATCTACGCAACCGCAAATATATACAAATTTTTGGTGAGTATTTCTGGTGTGTTAGGTAGTGACAATAGTTTGTTGAGAATAGTAACAAGGAAATTTATAAAAGCAAAACTGCTATACATAGTGAAGACCGATCAAAATGCAGCGGAAGATGCATAAAGTGTTACTTAACTTGACGAGAGATCAATGCGGTTAAAAAGCACATAGGAATATAAATGAATAGAAATTGTGCAAGAAGTGGACAGAATGAAAAAACGAGTGACTGTAAAGATCAAACTAGCAACTGCTGAAATATTCAATCAGGTTTTGGCACTTTTGCTGGAACGGTAGTTTTTCACAAAATAAAGTAACTGACCACCTCTCACCAGTGATCTTTAAAGTCACTCAAAAAACGGATAACTTCAAAGCAAATAGACAAAGCAAAAAGTTGACGGAAATTAAAACTGTGTTTATATAAGTCAGAATTTTCCCAGAGAATGGGTAAGACCGCAGCGATGCAAATAATAGGAAGACATGCGGCCTTTGGAAGATTTCTTTTCACCTCATGAGAAGCTTTGAAAGCGTGGTCTCTTGAAATAGAATATCGACATTGTGTTTAATGGTAGCACTTCTGATAAATCTATTAACGTCTTTCAAACCATTTCGGCTAATGTTCCTGGACTCTTTTGGATAAAATCGAACAACCTATCAACTTCGCTTCACAAGAGCAGGTGAACTGAGACGTACACAAAATTGAGACAATTTGTCTGTTGAGTTGCCGAGGGAAACTGGGTGGTATATGAGTTCTGATCTAAACGTTGACGCAAAAATTTTTCCCCAAAGAGCGTTTGATATACCTTTCTTCAAAGTCCTCTGCAGCCTAGATTCACGCAAAGTACCGTTCTCAGCACAGAAATGAATCTCTCTTTACGGAGTTTTGGCGGGGGTACTCATTTTCAGCAAGGATTTTTCTCAGAAAAGAAGTCTTTCCTAACACATCTGAGCTGCGTATTCGTCGAGTGAGAGTGGCAAGAGATATAATCAAGTTTCAAAAGCGACTTAAGGGCATCCAGCTATAAAAGCTTGTTAATTGATCATTCCGCACAGGCATACTGCAGACTGACTTTCTTAACGTCCCATCAGTTTTTCGTGTCACTGGTACATATAGGGAGGAAATTTCTGATTTATTTTCTAACTCGAGTACATTTGATAGTCAACTGAAGACTATTAAATACCTGTAGCACTTGATTTGAATCACATATATTATCACAGATAGTAAATGTATTATCTACATACCTTCTTTATAAATGAAAGCAGTCGATTATTATTTTTAGCAGGCCACGTTCTATACTGGTCATAAAAAAGTTTGCGAGTAATGGGCCTAGAGGGAATCCAATGGTGATATAATTTTTCCGTCTGTATACCAAACCATCGAATGTAAACTGAGCATTAAACATGCATCTTATAAATAATTCACTCAAGCAGCAGCTTGGTATTCCAACACTCGAGCTGTTATATTCAGTCTATCTGCACACTAAACAAGCAGTCTCTGTAAGAGGAACATTGGTGAAGAGCGACTCGACGACAAATAATATACGTCCTCCAAACACGTCTACGTCTTTTTTGCAATTGATGGATTCAAAAATGTCGTGGAAAGAGGTTTTAAGATTTTGACTAGCATTTTGCAATTGGATGGTAGAGGCATCCAGATCAGTCGAAGAGATAAGCTCGCTTTGTGTACTTTAAGCAATTCAAACAACCTCAGTATTATTGAACCAGCTAGTTTTACTTGTTCTTAAAGATCCTCCATTGACTGTCTAACCAAACTTCAGTTTTTGTCGAAACTCAGTGAGTTGTTGTTTAATCAGTTCAGTTTTGTTGGTAGATTCAAGAAATATGAATCAATGCACATAGAAATACATGACTTTAAAGTGACGAGATTCAAAAACACGTAAAAGTCGCAATGACGCAGATGTAGTCACACATCATTTCTATCTTCATCTTCATATCCCGTCTATTGTTTATCTCTTTTCATTTCTTCTTATGACTTCCGAGGACTTCATTTCATTTCTGTCCTCGATTTCTGTCTCATCTGGCTTTCTTCGACCTTGACAAACTGATATAATGTGTTACAACTAGAACTGTTACACAGAAATGCCAAGTTCAACCTTGAAACTGTTCGAATGATTGAGTACAAAGTTCTGGATGCACTTTTAACTTTCCACTGGATACTTGAATATCACTGATGATTACAAAGTTAACACATGAAGCTAAGACACATTGGGTTTTGAAAGTGAAATTTAGTGTCAGACAGACAAAAAATCAACGTAGTCTAGTAGCAGTGAGGAAGTTTTACGTATTAAATGAAATTATTGATTACACAATCTTAAGTTATACTATGTGTAGCATAGCGTATCAGAATTCGATACGTAAAATTAAAACTGATACAAAACTTTAACTCAAACATATTTTAGCTCAGGTTAACCTTCAGGTTTTATCTTAAACCACTGACCACTTCATATTCTCATCACAAAATTTAAAACTACAGTGGAGATTACCTGCGGGTTTTCTGCAACAATTTACTTTTAAAATCTGCTAATATTTTAGTTTCATTAGGTTAAACGTACACAACCTGAATATCTTATCAGATTCATTTCCCTCACTTTAGTACACAGTAGTGACTGGTAAAAATTGTGCTTGTTGAAATACGCAGCCTTCTTCCGTGACGTTAATACAACTTAGACTAGTTCACACGTAAGTTCAAGGTTACTACGATAAAACAGTGATGGATGTTTTCGTCTGCATTTTTAGACATTTCACGAAATATCAAGATAAATTCAAAATGAACGAATTGTGATAACTGCATAAACTTGCTTCCTTTTTACTACTAGAAGTTGCATTGTGAAGTCGTAACTGAGGAAATGCAGATATATCATGTTATATTCATTCACATTATCATGGGAGTCACATAAAAGTAACCGACTACTATGAATTACGCTAGTTTCACATCACAAATAAGACAATACTACATGATTTTCAGTAAACTTAGACGTGACTTTTCATTGGAGTATAGTGTTGATAACAGTAACATATAGATTACATGCTAAGAATCACATCAATCACGCGCGAGTTTACAGGTACGATCACATCTAATCCCTTGATTTCTTGCTTGATTAAAATCAATGAATAATGCTCCACTGATAACCATTAATATCCGACTTCTTTCGCTTACCAGTCTTTTTGAAATATTGTTACTTAGATATTCAGGCATACTGAGGTAAGACGCATTATGATCCAGTTAACAGACTAACAACAACGCGATTTATTCCTGTAGTGGAAGCATAAATATGGTTTACTGTCTATGAATTCAATCTAAACGAAACAAAAAAACACTCACCTGAACATCTAAAAGAATTACACGATCCTGAGTAATATACAAATTGATGCCACCAGTGCATGGACTGTTAGTTATACGTTATTAACAGTCTGAATGCTGAAAGGAGCGTCAAAAATGGAACAGTCATCAGAAAGACAGTTTGCCAAAATATTTAAAATGGATGACTTCCCAGAACCCTAAGTTCATTATAGGAAATGTATATCACTGATTACCTGCAAACCAATGGCACCAACAACAAGAAACCCAGAATTTTCAACAAACAGTTCTTGAAGTGTTGCAAGATCAACAAATCTCAGCTGTTCGTCAATGAGCTTGATAGGTACTTGCATAGGATCATCGCAAAGAGTATATAACTCATCAGGTTTACTCTCTCCATCTATTAGTTCAGCTTCATCTATTGGAGTAGTGAAAAAGTCAATGATGCTCTTTATTTTCTTAATCTTTTCCTCCTAAATTAGATGAATAAATAAGCCAAAAAAGCCATATACCTTCATCCTAGTAGAACTATAGGATTATAGATTCTCGTTGAATTTCACTTCAATAGACTTGAATATCGTGCGTTGCTTCTGAAATAAAACAGGAAGCTATTCTTAATCGTGAAAAACTATAACAAAAGACAAATGTCAATAAAAAGTTGTCTAACGAACAATGATATCTAGGCCGATACGTCACACACTAAAACTTGTGAGAGCCTGACATAAAAATACTGAGGCTTACTCTCCAGTGTCATTGTAAATACAAATATAACTAAAATAGTACGAAAACCAACTTCATGTGAGGAAATGCAGACTTACCAGTTGAGGTACGCCTGACAACAAAACCTGGTGGTTCAAAACTACGTGAAATGGTTCAGTATCAATCAAAATGGCGCAGATGTATCCACACATTATCTTCACCTTAACTGTCATGTTTAAATCTATTATTCTCTCATTCATGGTTGCTCTTTGTTGACAACGTCCTGCCACTTTTGACTACTTCCTTCCTTATTTCTTGGTCAATTTTCGCTTGATGTGCGAATATGAGGTCTGGTGAATTTAACAGTTAAGCAGTAATGCCAAATCTTATGTTGACATTCACTAGAATTTTACTTTATCTGTTGCTTTTACACCAGTTGTTAAGTGCTATGGTTTTCGAAGTGTTGAGCGATTTCAAATTTCCTAAGCAAGCAGCATAGTTAGGCTGATGCAGCTCCACATGTAGGTGATGTGGTCGATACACTGAACCCCTCCACTACCTATCATTATGCTGGAACTACTAGCACACCAGTCCTTGAGCATCATCTTACATTTGATATGTGCCAGGGAGAGGGATCCCAAACATACTCACATTTCTGCTCAACGCCCTCAGAAGACACTGCATTTTGTCAGCCTCTACACCTACCAGGACAAGACAATATCCTCTCTATACTCTAAATAAACCACATACCCACCTCAACGGAGTAGACCAATCACTGTGGAGTCATATTCATATAACGCCATGTCCATTTGTAAATCTATAGCAAAATTAAACAGGAACGTTGACAGCAAATATCATCCCTGATGGATATCAATAGTTCTCATCAATTCAGAAGACAACTATCCATAAGCCCCGACACACCTGTGTGAGTTCCAGTAGACAGCTGTGATTAGCATTACATGCTTGCTTAGTACTCCTTTCACAGTCACACACACACACACACACACACTACCACAACAACTCAGTCGACATAGTCGAATGCCGACTTCACGTTAACAAATATGGCATGTGTCGGTTGCCCGTGAGTATGGCTGTGTTGTTTCAGAATCTGTCGGAGGATAAAAATCGCATTGATCCACCCAAGTCCAGTTCTGTCTGAAACCTACTTGGTTTTCTATAGTTTGGTATTCTCAAGCCAAAGTTACGTATCGGACAACTAGAAGTTCTAGGCACGTTGACACAATATTAGTCAGTCGAGCTCCACCATATGGTTGTCACAGGAAAACTCTCGCCACTTGAAGACTAGTATGATATGTGAAATAGATCAGTGTGACGGGACTACTACTGATTCCCTTACAATACCTAGTACATCCGTCACTTTAATTGGTAACTTCCTGCCTCCATCCTTGGAAGCATTCACCGTTATGTAACAAAAGGTAGGAAATTGGGGACAGACGACTCTACTCAGTTCCTCATACGTAAGACCGACAGACAATCTGAAGTCGTATATCCTACTTCAAGTACATCCAAAGTTCTTACCTGTTTTTACTGAACTACCCTGAGAAAGATACGTATCTACAGTCAACCAGATAAAGAAAAACATATATGGTTACCATAGTACGCTGTAGACTGGTGGAATCCACACCCAAATGAAGGCTGTATTCCAAAAATTTAGTGGTTCACAAACTTTACTTCGGGGTTCTTACTCTGTCATTTTTCCACGAAATGAAAGCAAAAACAATATCCAAGCTGCTTTGAGTATATGGACGCTTAGTAAACCCTTATGCTGAAATGAAATCAAGACGCATTCAGCAACTTCATATACGTCCATGCACTAGGCAATGGGCCATAGCTATTTTGCGAGGGCTAATGTTACTGCCTGGATATCTTCACCACGTGACTCAGTTCGAAAGTTAACTGTCAAGAATCAGTAACTTAGCAGATCCACCCATTCGAGCTTAGATACTAGGTGTGGTGTTAATAAGTATAGCATCCACATTCGTATGAGGGTCACTGGCATCAAGTTAGTACAAGATACGTTAATTTACAGCCATCATATCTTTTAAGGTACTAGCACGTATGAATCCTTCACGTATGAGATTCCTAAACTTATATCATTGAAATCGCATCACCAGTCACTTTTGATCACACTATACCCTGCACCGTATGACTTTTCTACGTAAGCAAAATATTGACAGAGAAGAGATGAAGCCAGATAATCTCGATGCTGAGGTTATTGTTAGTATAAGAACTTACTGACGTAAAAAGAGCCTGTTGATAAGCTTTGTCTAGCCTGAATGTGGGTGAGCTGTTGCAACGGAAAGCGTAGATGAGTGCGTTTGATGATGACCATAGGGATCTGGAAGGGAAAACGGAAGAGAAAAAAGTAAGCCACTGACTCAACAAGTACGTAGGTTGTACTTACATCTAATAATAAGAAATAACCGATAAGTGGAACAGCTTAATAACTAAGGGTTGAAGTTGTCTAGAAATCTTAAGTTAAACGTGCATACGCAAGGTTTCATGAATATACACCTACAACTTGTAACGCAGGTCTCCAGTAGCGCGCTTTGTCTGAAGCATGTACAATAGTTTTCAGTTTGCAGTAATAAGGGCAGTGGTCCAGTTGTTCCATGTTAACCCATGCAGAAGATAGCTCCTTCAAGACCTAGTTTCTTTTGCAGACCGTTGGCTGAAGATGCGTGCACTACTTTCTGGGATAGGGAGTAAGATTCATTGAAAACATGATGATAAAAACAAATTCAAGTTAAGCTGATGTGATCACTGTCCTTAGATTTCTTTACGATGCCCTCAGAATTAGTCACTCCTAGCAGGATGGAAAATATAATGTGAATCCTCAGCAAATTCTTTATTGAGGTAATAAGTTTAGCCAATCCAATCGTTCTTTATTGTGACGATTCAGAATGCCTGCCACAAGCTTAGGACCTACCCTCCGAACACACTGGAGTACGTCAGCTCCCTATTTTGGGCTTGAAATGCTTACGCGAATTCAGTATTCAGGTGAGGATTAAGATAAGTAGAACAGCTTTTTCTGAACATAACCTGGTCAAATATTCTGAAAGCTCTGTGACTGGGTCATAATACAAGGAAGACCTTTGTCACAGCTGTATAAAAGCGTGCCTATGTCTTCAATGCATGAGTTATGTTGACACATAGGTATTTCACTTCTAAAACCGGAAATAGTGGTGTATAATCAACAGGATACCAAAAACAATTGCTTTCACCAACATACATTTTGGCAGTTTTACTACTGTTTAATTCCACGCACCACCGTCTGAACCAGCTAAGGAGTCCATCCAAGCCTGTTCGAACTGCATACTTATCAGCATCATCAAATATGACTATACAAGCTTTAACATCATAGGCGGGCAGCAGCACTGAAGAGCTGTGCGCCTGTGGTGATTCGCTGACTTATAAAAAGAAAACTAGGGGACCAGGATTTTTCCTTGGCGAGCTCCACCCATCACAGGTTTTCACCCAAACGGCACCCCATTAACCCTCACTCTTCGCATTCTGTGGTGCGGGAAGCCCCTAATCCAGGCTTCCAGTGCGGTGTCCAACCTGAGAGGTGAGAGCCTTCCTAGTTATTGACACGTAACACGTAATCGAATGCCTTACTGAAGTCTAGGAACATGATGTCTCCTGGAAGCTTGAAATCATTAGCTGCAATCCATTCTTCTGTCGCAATGCAACGGTTTCAAAGCAGAAGTTCCCAGTAAGAAAGCCTTGTTGCTTCTGACAAAAGGTTATTTGGTTCAACATGGTTAAGCACCTTATCGCGAATTATTTTCCTTAGGCCTTGATGACTGTGTCAGTTGTATACACAGGTCAGTAGTTAGCCACCAACTGATGACTATCGGCCCCAAGAACCGAGCTGACCACAGCACCTTCTTGGTCTATTGGGGGGTCAGTTTGAGATAGCGGAATATGGAGAAGGTCACTTGTGCAGCAACCGTGTCCGCTGGCAAAAGTAGCAATCTGGGTTGTAGACTGTCGAGCACCGGGGATTTTCTAGGCTTATAATAAGTGAGCAACTGGAAGACTGTCCCCTCTGTAATGAGCATTGTATTCAATGGTGCAGCACTGTTAATACCAGTTTTGAGCACTTCGCCATCGTGATCTACAGAGAAGATTACATTGAAGCAATCCGATTGGCACAGCTTTGGGCAGATTAGATTCCATCAGAGCATCAGACATTTTATCCACCACCAAGAAAGGAATTCCACGTCTTCTTCTAATCCTTCTTCCAGTGAATGTGAACCGTCTTTCAGAACAGTTCTTACAACCATTTGCAGCCCGCTTCCCATAAGACATTGGAGATCATGTAATCGAAGTTTTTCACAGGTTACGGACGTTATAGCTCCCAGTTTTTAATGTTTCAGTTGAATTTCTGTAAACAAGTCTCATAAACGTTGTGTCTGCCTTAACAACTTTTGCGTGTCTTTGTTGAAGTGCGGAGGTGCTGCGCGGATCCCCGCAGAATCGGTGGTGTCGTTACCACTTCGAATAGAGTTGTGAACATATCCTGGGCACTCTCGTTGGTGGTACTTGCCGCTTGTCCGATATCTTCACACCGATGGGTTAGATCTTATAGCGACAGCTTATTTTCAAAGCCGTATCTTGTTGCATAGGCTGCGTAAAGCGGAATGTAGAACCGTCAAAATAGATCCTTTTTGAAGAGGCTGCCCGAAGCCAAGACTGAAAACTTCATCCACTTTGTCTGTAGATTATTCGGATCCCCAACTATTAAGCATCCCTTTCTCCCTCTCCAGTTATGCCTATCAGTTAGCACGAAGTCCCTTGCAAAGCAAGAAGAATACGGTAAATTGACTGGAACAGGAGCCTCCATATGACTTCAGTTCACAACTGACCACTTCCCACGTACCACATCCACGAACTTCTGAAGTGACAAATCATGAGTGGACATCGCGAATATGCAGGAGTATGCCACCGTCTTTACAGTCTACAATCTTATCTGTCCTTAAACAATAATACCTTGCTAGAAGTGGCGTGAAGTCGAAATTCGTTGTCAGGCAGGTCTCAGTAGCGGCCATTACATCAGAACCCACTTAACAGACCTGAGCCTCGAAATCTACCACTTTTTTCCGAGACTGCGAACACTGGTGCGGATTACGTTCAACCGTTTGAAGAGCTGACTGGCTCACTCATATGGGTCTTAGAAGTATCCCTTTCGCAAACCTCACAACCCGAAAGCACGCGATTTCAAAACTTTTCTCCACTAGTTTTTCGAGCCTTAGCTTCAGCGTTCAATTCTTCTTCATTCTGTTCTCAAAAGGCTAGTCTTGTCGAATGTTGACTTCCGAATTTCATTGTTAGAATGCGTTATTCAGGAGTACGTCAATTTCTTCGTTGCCCGGAACAAACTTTGAAATCGTCCTTTCGTTGCATTTATCATTTGTCTCCTCCTCACTAGTCTGTTTTGAAGACGTTTACTCCTTGAGATGTTTTGGGTAGGATATGTTTGATGGCCAACTCGACCAACTTCAGATCATGCACGCGATGTACTGGGGAGTCTTTATGCACCGACTCAGTATCCCAGAAGATCGCGCCGGACGTTGGTAGGACATCCTTGGATCTCGTGTTGATGGCTTTTGACTCTTTCTCATCAAATTTCATAAGCTTAGCAGTTCTGGTGGTAGAATTTGTAAGCTTCTCTAAATTCTCTGTCGGATAAACTCAGTCGGAATAATTGGTCGCCTCTGTATAGTCAACGCTGTTAACAGGGACGCATCAATGCTAAGAACTCGATGTTGCACAGTGCATGACTTTCTCTCGCGTTCCACACTTCGGTTGCTGAAGGACAGTATTTGTTCCCAGCGATCTTAGCTCCTGTTTCGGCTCCATAACAATTTGAGGGATACAAAATGATCATCATTAATGGTCGGTCCCCCTCTGGTGAGGCTACCTATTTTCTGTTAAGCTGCCGCATTCCTTTTGGGTTCAGTTCTTCTATAAAACAGGACCGAAGGTGGGCGCCAGTCCTTCTCGTAAAATCATCGGGAAGAGGGCCTACAATGACTTATTTAGAATGCATGTTCCACAGCTTACGAGTCCAAACAAGAAACTAGTGGGCACGAATCTTAGCTAATGTCCTCTCACTCTGCTGCTGAAGGATGCACGAAATAGTGGTATTTTGCTTGTGGCTGAGGAACTATCTTTTGGGATGGAGGAAACTGCGAGTGAAATAATAAGCAACTATCATAGCCCCAGTCATCCGAATGCTGCTTATGAGCTACTGAGGTAAAGACGCTTAAGGTCGGCACTAATACGGATTCACTTTTTTGCGGCTTTTCTCTTGATCCTCGAAAAGTTGCAGTGTCTTTCTTCCAGTAGCGATGCATATCAAGCTAGTTCTTTCAGAAATGTCAAAAAATATCCGCTCCATGGAGTCTTATGGCAGAATCAAAAGTCAGTCCCCTTCGTTTAAGAGAAAGGCCCTGTTAGCCGCAGGGTGACTATGAGAAGGATCTCTAAGTGTGTCATCTAGGATAATCCCCGGGGCCTTTCCAATGCGTTTCTGTGTTATTCTTCTGACTATCTGGATGGCCTAAAAACTCCTAACTAACTGCTGACTGGCCTACCAGATACCTTTGACTCAGAGTTTACAGATGATGTAAGAAGGGAGAAGAAATCGGCCTGGATGATATTTTAACTGTCCAAGATATGGCAATCAGCCGAATCACACGTGGGTGTACGGTTGAAACAAACCTTGCACACAATGAGGAACATCCACATACTGAGTCGCTGACTTACTACGGTGAAGGAGGGGAAATGAATTACTAACCATGAGGAGGAAAATGCGCTAAAACGATAGCATAAAGCGCTAACGTAAATGATTTGGCATATGAATCCAGGGGTCTTTCTATCTCCGCTCGTAAATATGGTTGGCTCCAATACCTTCTTCATCTGGTAACTTTTCCGGCTTATCGAATACACCAACAGTATCCTTCACCACATTTCGTATACTCGGCCCTCTTAGTGGATAATGAGACATCTACTACACCTACTCTGGCCCTTCATACCAAGCTTGAGAAGACTTCAGTAAGTTACCACCTCAAACCAACGGCACATTCTGCCCCACCCTACACAGTAATCAAAAAAAGAAATTCCATACTACATGGCCGCATGAAATATATATTTTTAAGTGCCTTATAGAAAAAGCACATACAATGAACGCCATAGCAAGGAAAGTTGAGTGGGGAGAAACACAAACATAGGAAACACTCCCTGTTGAAACTTTCGGTTATTCCGCCCGCTGCTTTGTCTGTCTTTTCCTCGTTGTTGAAAGGTAATTCGGTTCTAGTCGTTAGCTTGATTGTCAACGACAGTCGATTATTTAAGGAACAGACCATGGCTGAAACTACTCTCTATGAAGGGTAACCAGCTTTACCGCGTCAGAATACCTAACTGCGACAAGCAGAAATAAAAATGTTCACTGGGCTATAACTTCATAATTATCAAAATCTAGGATTTACTCATCATGAAAGTGACCAGCGAAATCCAATACCTACCAACCGCAAGGCTGTCCTGACCCTTGAAAA